GTAAGGCGAGAAGCTGCGTAAAAGTGGCCAGACAGGGTAGGCTGCAACCACCGGAAGAACGCGGTAGGCGTAGCCCAGGTCTGGCAACTAGGCCTGCGTAGTCATACCAAAAAAAAAGAAAAACTGAATAACAGCGAGGTCATCTTACGAACCGTTGCTAGTGATGGGAGCACAACCTTGGAACCATAACACAACTTTGTGCATACAACAAATTTTATCTTGAAGGACTTATTGCTAAAAGAAAGATCAAAATCTGACACGAGTGTCAGCCTGTTTTCCGCTTTTTGGAAATCGTCTTGCCATGCAAGAGGCGCTACACCAGCTTGAAAGAAATGTACACCCAGCACACGTAACGTCGAAACAAACAAACTCTTCGAACGGTTTAGTTGGGCCTGCGAAAGAGTAGAATAGCCCGCAAAAATATTTCCGACGGCTAAAAACTGTACGGATCGCGCAGAAATAACGATACGTCATCTGGGTACGCGGAGCCCGACACTGTGGTGAGTCCCGGCAAAGGAAACCCGCGTACTCGTTCGTGGTTGTGAGTTCTGCCATACATTGCACCTCAGACACTCAGACATATAGCTCGTTATAAAGTGTCAATAGTGTCCACAACTTATGGCAGACGACTACAACGATTCTACGTGCCACACTTTTTCGATAGTCTATTTGACAGCATATTTGAGTTGGACTCAAAAAGAAGACTGAAGCAAACCCTCAGACTTTTATAGTGAATCTATTGCGCACGCAACAGCGGCATTAATCTTGAACCAGCTGAACGCTTCGAAATGTACTTTTGCAAGTTTATGTTTTCTTTGTATTCTGTGTTTGATATTTTTATATCGTGTCGTCTAAGCCAGAAGTGAGATTCCTAGACTTGTGTAACTGACACTTGTACTTTGCTTGAATTATAGTGTCACAAGTTCCAGCGTTCGCTGTCGACTGCGTTTCAGTTATACAAGCCAATTTTGACTGATCCTATACAAAGCATAGAACTCTTCGCAAATAAACTTTATTTTTTTTATTATTATTATTATTATTATTTATTTTTTACTCAATTGTTTACTTAACGGAAACTTGGCTATGTCCTAGTGCTAGTCCCTCCGACTACTTTCCGCCTGGTTTTGATGTCAACCGTCACGATCGCGATTTCTCTTCCCGGGGCCGAGTAGGACGCGGTGTATTGGTTGCAGTTAACAGACAATATAGTTCACGAAGACGTCAGGACCCCAGTCTCTGTGGGTGGAAAATGAGTGTTCTAGGAGAGAACGCATTTTAATAGTTCTGTTTTACCTTCCTCCTCAGACGACACCAGATGATTTCCAAAGATGTTTCGCTGACATTGAAAATACTATGAGTGTCTCAAGGGAAGCAATATCTTAATCTTGGGAGATTTTGACGCTCCAGGTATTAACTGAACGCAGTTCAATGTCCTTACTGACAAATTTTATTGTAAACACGAGTGTAACTATGTCCTCAACTTTACTTCTTTTTTAGATCTTAGACAGCACAATAACATTCCAAACGACCAAGGTAATGCTTTAGATTTATACTTTTCAAACACAGATGGAATAGGTGTAGCTCGAAGTGAACTTTGTACGGCTCCTGACGATAGATATCACCCTGCTCTCGATGTAGTTCTTTCTGTTTTTTGATCCTCCGATCCTCGGTCCCTCTAATGGTCCTTCGCCACACAGATCCTATAAATATGCAACGAGGGACTACACTGGAATACATCACCATCTGTCGGGTGTTGACTGGGCTTCTACCTTGGAGTCGTCTGATGTCCACGACCATGCACAAGTGTTGTTCAGGAGGCCATGGACATATATATCCCTCTCAAAACATTGAAAAAATCCCGCTTCCCAACATGGTTCTCTTGTGAGCTCAGAAACCTTTCAAAACAGAAAAATTTCTTGCTCAGGAGGTTTAAAAAAAGTGGTCTTTCAAAGTCGAAAGTTGAATTTCAAATTTACAGAAAGCGATGTAAGAAAATTTTAAACTGTGAACGCCATGCGCATTGTGAGTCGTCAGAAACAAATCTCGTTAAAAATCCTAAGAAATTTTGGAGGTACGCTAAATCGAGCTTAGGGAAGAATATTGAGTTCAAGATCGTCTTGAATCATCATAGTGACAGTGCGAAGGGCATGTCTGAGTTGTTCGCGGATCACTTTGTGTCAGTCTACGATAATAATAATAATAATAATAATAATAATAATAATAATAATAATAATAATAATAATAATAATAATAATAACTGCTCTTCAACTATATTGCCTCACTCGGACGGGTTTGGTGACTCATTAGGTCCTGTAGTGTTCGATGAGGAATGTGTTAGGCTATGTATTATGAAAAAGAGACCCACATTGTTGGCAGTTCATGACGGGATACCCGCTGCGATTGTTAAGGGTTATCATGAATTATTTACGCCTATATTATGCACAATTGTTAACAACTCATTGACGCCAGGAATATTCCCTGACCTCTGGAAAGTGGCAGTGGTTGTTCCGGTCCTGAAATCTGGAAATAGAGGTGGTGTTCTTAATTACAGACCGATTTCTCTTCACTATTCTTTTTCCAAACTCTTTGAAAGGTTCAACACGGCAGAGAGTTGGGCGAGTTGGTTAAGCATCTTAATAGGTGGGAACAGCGCAGGAAAAACCGACGAAGGACGAGTACGAACAGCGCTGTGTCTGTGCACTTCTTCTACTCGTCCTTCGTCGGTTTTTCCTGCGCTGTTCCCACCTATTAAGACTCTTTGAAAGGGTAATCTATCAATTCCTCTCTTCCAAGTTTCGTAGTATAGTAATTCCTAATCAGCACGGCTTCATGTCGGGCAGATCAGCTTGACATTTATTGTTTCGACCTGAGTAAGGCCTTCGACAAAGTCAACCACAACATCCTCTTAAACAAGCTTTTCTCATACGGCGTATGTGGTTCGGTATACGATTTGTTAAAAAAGCTAACTGTCTGATAGGCAAGCCTACGGCTGCGTCAACAATACTATCTCGCCCTTCTAAAAGGCAAGCTCTGGAGAGCCTCCGGGATCTGTCACGAGCCCCCTCCGTTTTAATATTGTTTTGTAAATGATGTCTCTCAAGTTATATAAAATTCTTCATTTCTGCAGTACGCTGATGATATAAACCTTTACACACACAAAAAAAAAACAAGAAAACATCGACCTTAGGGGATTGCATTGCGCTTCAAAATGACGCATATTCCTTCGGTCATTGGTTTTTAGGCAATGACCTCCATTAGAAACATTGTAAAACTAAAGTAATGACATATTCTGGCAAGATCCACGATATATTTTTTCCATATAGTTATCATACCAAACTGCTGTCATGTGTAAGTGAACTGAGAGACCTTGGAGCTGTTTTTGATTCGACCCTAAGATTTGACACTCATGTTACCAAAGTGGTTCAATCGGCCTTGCGCACGTTAGGTGCCGCGTCTTGTATAACGAAGGAATTCAAAAGCACGTCCGCATTTTTCACGCTGTACTGTTCTTTAGTTAGATTCCAGCTAGAATATGCCTCGGTTATTTGGAACGGTATTTCCACAACTAACAGTTTATCTGTCGAGCGAGTCCAAAACAAATTTATTTCTATCTCTAAACCTTGAGAAATGTAATCCTTGTTTGAACGCTGGGTGTAACTCGCAACTCGTCAACTTGTTGAGCCTGCAGCAGCGTCGGGTGAAGGCAGATCCGTTGTTTTTGTTTAAGACCCTGCACGGCTCGATGAACTCTCGCAGCCTTTTGTCAGAAGTGAGCCTTGGGGTTCCACGTGTGCCTACACGGCTCCAATAATCTTTTTATTTAGCTCAACATTTCGGCCTCTTAAACCAGATCCGAAGATCGGCTGAGTGTTATAACCACTATTTTGATACATTTGATATTTTTAACTCATGCGGGAGAAAGTTCGGAAACGCTGTTCGAAACTTCCTCTTGCAAGAAAAGGACTGATCCGTTGAAGGGCTGATGTTTGTAGTACGATATCCAAGTATTTTAATTTTGCTCTCACACTTGGGGGTGTGTCTGTTTTGTGTTTTTGATTCCCCTTGTTGATTTGAGTGTCTTTCTTACTTGTTAATATTTTTTCTGAGACTGGTGAACTACGTTCCTCTACTGCACTCATGTGCATGTTGTTTGTCTGTGTGTGTTTTGCAAGTTGTTTTTAAGTGTGCCAGCACTAAGACCGATTGGTTGTTCCTGGACACTTTATTAAACACTGACTGATTGATTGAATATTATTATCATTATTTGTAGCAATATAAACGGTATTTATTAAACTTTCGTTTAAGGTGCGTTATCAAAGATAATAAAAAAAACTTTCAACTGCTGATATTGTGTCCAAATACATCAAGTCATAATTAGCCACATGAGTTTCAAAGATCCAGCCACACCTAGAACAAAAGTGGCGCATAACATACGTTGGCAACGGAGTCACCACGGGGGAATTACATACGAGAGATGTTACACAGGCGCGCTTTTAATGAATCCCCGTGGAGAAGTGCCAGAAAAAAGAAACCTCTTTCGACATCGTGTCACTGAAAACACGTTTGTGAATGGGGATGCAATCGTAACAGTATAGCATGTTACATCACAAGAAGGAGGAACGAATATAGCTTAAAAAAACGCTGTGAACGGATTCTGATAGTGGAATTTTTTTGTATCAACGTGTTTTTTTTTTCCTTCTTACTCTTTCTTTCTTTTAGTGCTTTCCTCGTCGGACGATTTTGGTTCGCTGAAACAGAAAGGTTGAAGTCAGTTCTTGACACCAGCGTCTTTGCAGAATCCTCGGTTGCATATGTTGTATATGTGGACAGCCGTTTTTTCATGAAAACACCGTGAAGTTCGTTACCTTGCAATGAATTTCGCACCATGGTTGATGCTGCTGACGTTGTTGATCTTGTCATTCACATCCGTGGAATGTTCGACAAGGGAGGAAGAGAGTACCACAAGAAGCTACAAAGATGACCTCAACCAAATTATGAAAATGGTCGTAAAAACGGCAATGCCCCTCATTTCGGATATCATCACGAGACCTGGGCTCTCAGGTCCCTGTTCGGCTGGATTGTTCAAGACGTTCGTGGGACTTCAGCAACAGAAAGCATGGGCTATACGAAGTAAGTTGCAAGAGTGCGTCTACTATTTCGTGTGTGTTAATGAGGAATTTCTTTAAATAGTCTCAAGCTTTGTGGAGGGTGAGGTTCAGTATACTACAAACGGGGTGGAAAGATAGTTTTCGCCGACTATTTTTCTTATCGTTTTATAATGGACTTAATTTTTTTTTCTCAAAATTTCTACGGTTTATTTAGTCGTCATGAGATTATGCCTTCTGCGCGTGTAGATTTTGACGAAACAGCTTATGCGGTAAAAAAACTGAAGTCAAAGATTTCAAGTGGTGTTGATGGCATCAGGGTGTCAAACTGAAACCCCTTTCGCTTACGGTTCGGGTTACGGTTCAGACAGTTTTGTTATTTATTCTTTATTCCTTCTCTCTTGTGTCCTGAAACAGCCGAAGCTTAAATGCTGGTACACATAAATAATCTTAAAACAAACTAAAACAACAAAATAACACAAATCTACAAAAAACACTGGCCTTGATATAGCTCAATGCTTAGGGCATTTTAAATGAGCGTTCGCTGTCGAAGATATCGACCTCCGCGCTTAGTGTATTAAAACTACTTTGAATACGCAAGATTGGAGAATGCGAGCATAGGCCTCGCACATAGAAGTGTTGGGTTTGCGAACGCTCACGCGTGGAGCAGATAAAAAGACCAGAGGCACAAGTTCAGAACAACTTAATATTCTATGTATGGCTTTGTGCAAAAAATTACCGCATCTCCACATGGTGAATGATGTTGATTGGGGCGAAGCTCGGGTGGAGCTGATGATACTGATTTTGGTCATAGGTAGTGCTGATGGTGGCGTTTTCATTCATGTCAGTAGAAGAATGTGTGGTTTTCTTTTTCTTTTTGTAAGAAGACAGATGGGATGGCAACTCGGAACCACCTATTTTTTTTTTTCTTCTTTTTCTTTTTTTTTTCTTGCTCTCGCTGCTGAACGCACGAGCAAGAGCTCGTGAGCTCCTGCTCGTGAGCTCGCGAGCAGGGGCACGCCGGACGGCGGACGGACATAGGGACATGGCTAGCCCCTAAGGAGCTTCGCCCCTAAAACACAGTCTCGAAGCTTTAGCCGAGCTACCATGTCTGCAAATTCATCCTGTGTAACATTAACTCGTGACAAAAAACAAACAAACCCGGCGACCGTAATAACGGTCGTACACAATGCGTGACAACTTCCTCTGAACATGTTCTAACCTCTCCCAGACTGCCACACTCAGACAGTTCCAGAACACGGAGCCGAACTGAAGTTCTGAATGCAAATAGAGGTATAAAACCTAACAAGGCACGACGGCTCCTTGAAATAACGGGTTATTCTCGAAAACAAGCCTAAAAATCGCAAGCATGAACTGACTAAATTTGACAAATGTCCATTAAAGGTAAGGGTGAATTCAACAGACACCCAAATCCCGCACACAATCCACTCGACGTAATGGTTCATTATCTAACCCATACAAAGAAGTGATAACACATTTCTTGCGCAATAAAAAAATGATACGCTTTTTTTTATTTAAACCCAAGTTTTGCATGTCACACCATAACGATATTGCAAATGTTTTTTTTTTACTTTTTTTTTTGCAAACGTTCGTAATCAGCATCAGATTTGATGTGTCTGTAGATCTCTCTTAATGTCATTCGCGAACTGGAGCAACTTAGAATGTTTTATACAACGATAGAAGTCATTAACAAAAATATTCAACAGCAAAGGTCCCAGAGATGAACACTGCGGAACACCAGAAGGTCATATGTATAATTTCGATGACGCACCTCTGACACAAACTCTGCTAATGCGCCCGGACAGATATGAACCAGAGGTATGGAGGCAAGGAAATTCCACACTCTGACAGTTTGTAAAGTATTAGGTCATAGTTCACAACGTCAAGTGCCTTGCTCAGGTCAAAATAGATGGCGTCTTCCTGCCAACAGTTAGCGACAATAGGACAAACATAACTAAACTTGTCTACCAAGTTTGTTTCAACGGACTTAGACTTAATAAATCCAAAATGTGATCCGTTGAAATCATGTGATTCGGTTCTGGCTCAACTCCGAAACGAAAAAGAAAATAACGTTTCAAACCTGCTTGAACCGGTTCGATAACGGCTTAGCTTGAAGCCAAATGTTTAATATTGATTAAATTGTTTGAAGAAGTACAAGAAGGATAGAAAATGGAATCCTTACGAGATTTCCCTCCCATTTTATGATATCAAAGACAGCTATACAATAATTTTCTTACGAAACAACAGCAATAAAAGGAATCGATAATCTCTAACGGTACGCGGCGAATGCTTTACAAAAAAATAGGAGTACACTTAAGACTGCTTACGTGTAGGAAGATGAAATAATTATAGTCCCGCGGGAGAAATATTTTCGAGTAATCTTCCTACACGTACCAAAGTCTAGGACGACGCATATGACGATGTCGAGGGCGACGTCCTAAACATGGACGCCGAGTAAGGCGTCTAGGACGACCTCTGCGACGAAGCCGAGGACGACGTCAAGGAAGGCGTCTAGGATGACGTAGAGGATGACGTGTCCGGTGATCTCAACAATCATGACGTCTTGGACGACTTTTAGGACGGCCCCTAAGACAACGTCAAGGACGACGTCTAGAACGACGTAAAGAACGACGCCTAGAGGACGACGTCTAGGACGACCTCTAGGACGACCTCAAGGATGACACCTAGGTGGACCTCTAGAACGATCTCAAGGATGATGCCATAGACAGCGTCGTCCTTCAGCATTCGACTGCGCGTACTTGACGACGTATTTTTATGGCCATCTTTCGTGCACAAAGACTCCGTTTTTTCAATCAATGGGTCAAGTAAGGCTTTCGTCCTAAAAGAGATTTGTGGCGTAGAAATGCCTTGCTTATGTCTTAAAAATACGCTGCAAAACAAAAATGTAAACATCCTGATTACGAGCCTTTTCTTTCCCCCAACAGATAATTAATTAAAGCAGTATTAATGGCATGAGACTCCTTTAGGCTTTCCTAAAAAGAGACTCATCACTGTGCCTAAAAGCCAGCTTAGAGCAACTTTTTCAGGAAACGTCAAATTAGTTCAGACCGTTAATATTGCTGTAATTAGTTTTCATTCTTTTAGGAAAATGCATCTTGTAATCTCCTTATCGTAATCAAGTTTTTTTTTCTTATTTACAGTATTATTTTAGCAGAAATACGCGCTGCAAACATCACGACGGCAACAAGTCACAAACAAATAATGAGTGAGAAAGTGCAAGGGTGGTTATATTACCTTTGAAATTACGAGAACCTCAGTTCTGTGCTTCCGTGATTCAGACCAGAGAGTTACGTCTTCCCGCGCACAGCACTTCCTCCCCTTTATTTGTTAATGAATTGTGAGTTGTCGCGAAACGGTTTGGAACGGTTCTTTCGTTTTGCTCTGGTTCGGGTTCAGTTCCAAGAGTATGGCAGCCAGTTAGGTTCGGGTTTTATTCCAGTTCGAGAAAAACTAGTGGTTCAGGTCAGGTTACAGTTCGACAACCTGGATGGCATACAGAGTATTATCAATAGATGATGCAGATTCATTCCTATCCAAAACACATTTTCAACCTTTCATCTCTTCAAATTAAAAAAAAAAACGGTGATGCCTTTTTTCTTACTAATTATGATCCTGTTTCCTGGCTTTGTGAATTTGCTACGATTTCTTAGTTTCTTGTTCATACTTGTGGCTTTTTTTTTATTTTCGTCAAAACGTAACACCATAACAGCATGGATCCTTAAGTGGTCGGTCTGTGAAGACAAATCTGCGTACTTTTTCGATTATGGCGCGCCATTATTCACGAAGAGGGGACCTGTTGATGCAATATTTTTTATATGACCAAAACGCCTGACAATATCTGTCACAAACTACTCTTGCACAAGCTATTTCTATATGGTCTTTTTCCTGGGTCAGATAATTTTCTTTAAGAGCTATTTGGTATTTTGCAATAACACTGTTCGCGTTGGGGACAGTTTCTCCCACAGCTTTATTTCAACGTCTAATCTCCCTCAGGGATCGGTCCCAAGCCCTCTTTTATTTTTAAGTTTTACAAATGATAAAGTGTCGTGTGTTGAAAGTTCTGAAATACTTTTTCTTTTTACCTACGATATTACGTTGTTTAAAATAATTAAATTCCCAGAATACTGCAACATACTACAATCCCATGTTTCGCGTATGCATCTGAGGGGCAAACGGAGTCAGTAGTTATTGCTGAACTCTACAAAAAAAAAGCCTTCGTTGTCAAGACGTCATACTATTGTTGACTATACAAATAATCTTGATGGAATACCTTGCAGCACGTCTCTTTTGCGGAAGATCTTGGAGTGTGCATAGACAGGGCCTGAACATTAAAAAATCATGTATATTATATTATGGGTATCGCCATGAGAACATTGTGAGTTGTTTCACGCTTCTCTTTTAATTTTAGGAACCTTATACCTTGATTAAATTTTTCAAGTCATTAGTAAAGTCGCGACTTGAATTTACATTCGAAATACGGAACTCGCTATCGAAAACACGCTGAGAAAAATAATCCTTCGCATAGCTTATGATAGGTGTATAAAGCGGTGTATTTGTTATGACTATGAATATCGGCTATAGATATATTCTCTTTCACTTTTGTTTTAGCGAAAAGAGGCTCGTAACTTTTCTTTAACACACACCTCGCCGATGTTTTGTGAGACACCGATAAGGTTGGACTCGTGCTGTACGACGTGAGAAATTTGGTCTCCCGATCATGTCTGTCACTGTGTCGGCACGGCTGACATAATCTACACTGCCGCTTTGGACTCTGTGTTTGTTTTCGTACCATTAACGCCTACAAATTTAGCGCCGATGGGATTAACTCAAATGCCATCCCACACTCGCGGGAATGCAGTGCGAATTTCGTTGGAGGAATGCCCTCCAAAGAGGTTTCGTCCCCATCATATGTGTCGATGATATTTTCGTACCAGTATAGCAAGCAGTCTCTACTTTCTAAGGTTAACAGCGCAATATCAGTCACACACACTGACACACAAAGGGAAAAACACACGCGCTGACTTGCAACTCGTTTTGTATCTTGTTACTTTTTGTTCTTGTCATTGGGTTGACATTCCCAATCTCCATGACCAGCACAAAAGCACGAAAACAGGGAACACTTCAAAATTTGCTTCTTGCTCCTCACCGCAATCATCAGGATAAATATTCGAGCTCTTTTTGAGACAGCGTTAAGGACGGACTACTAACACACTTGTCAGCGAGAAGCGCTATTTTTTTTAGTTTCTATTATCCCTCTGGTCAGCGGGTCCCGATTTCTTCCTCTTACAGCACATTTTTCAAAATTCGGAGTGCACCTCCCACGATGAGTGGAATTCTCTTGACAGCCTTTGACAGTCTAAACCGGTTTCCATTTAGTTACGGAGCCCAAAACATTTAAACCTGGTTAACGTAGGCCACCTCTTTTAGGTATAATAAATGTTTTGTCAAGTTACGCGTATGTCAAAGTACCTGAGTGTCGAAAATCAGCACCTCGCACAACCAGGTTATCACACAACTGCTGATCGCAAAAGCCTTTCACGGCCAAACCATGTGCTGGCCGACGACACTGTTTTCTCAGCTTTGGAACCATCTTTCGTAAAGTTGCTTCAGTTGGAAGTACCTTCCTCGTACCTTTCTACCTGTAAAGTCTACACCTCCCACGACTAGTGGTATTTTCTTGACAGCCCTTTAACGGTCAAAACCGGTTGCCATTAAGTTACGCCGACCAAATCAAATTTCAACCTGGTTTCCCTATGCCAACTATTTTTAGTATAAGTTCTGTGTAAAGTTACGGTCATGTCCAACAACCTATGTGTCCAAATCTACCCTTCGCACAGCCCGGTTATAACACAACATTTTGGGCCCAATATTGGATATCCCGTACAGCTTTATTTCTATGGTTTGTTCGAAACATAACTTTCACACATGCTGTCTTAATGAAACTTGGCACACTTTGTGCACAAACTAAGTAAACATCTCACTCGCCTCCAAAAATCATTGTCCAGACAGTTTTACTATTCTAGCGACGAGCGAAATAAATTTTATACTGAGACAGTGGTGAACACACTTTTCTTTGGTGAACGTATCACTCGCCTCCAAATATAATCGTCCCAGCAGTCCTTCCCTATTGAAAATTCCATCAAGATACGTAATTTGGGACACTGACTGCCAGTCAGCAGCTTTGGTGGAACGTGATGGACCATCAGACGTCATCTGATGGTCCATCAGATGACGTCTGACTGCCACTGCCAAGGGAATTTCATCAACAAGGGCAGCATTTATATAAGAATAAAGCTATACGCACTCATAAACATCGCCAAATGCCTCAATAAAACAAAATGTTCAAAAAAAAATAAAAAAAATAAACAGAATCACCGCGGATCGAACCCGCGACCACTTGCGTACAAATCGGACACCTTAAACCCGATGCCATGCCATCGCTTTGAAAAAACTCGATTTGACCATTCGTTTTATACGAGATGCTTCGGCTGCAAATGCAGTTAAGCCTTCAGCACGTTATGCAAAGCACTCGTACATCACTCGCCGTTCTTCAGTTCTACTCACCTGCCATGTTGAGTACTTTCGCGTCGTAGAACGATCCTTTTGTTCGCGCGTCTCCGGCCCAGTAGACCTGGTACACCTTGTCGTCTTCAACTACACCGCTAAGGTACCTTACATCGTCGGAACTCACAACAGGCTGGGTCTTGTCGAGTAGAAATTCTACTAAAACATAAGACATTGTAGAGCCCGGGCAGGATCGACAGGTTGGAGCAAGCGGGCAAACAAAACGAGTCGAGAGCGATCGTTCATGAAAGCTCGGCGAAGCCCCTATGGGCGAAGCGAAGTGGCGTGTTCGGCGTTTCGGCGGGCTTCTGATCAAAGTTGTCGGTCGGCTGCGTGTCATATCTCTAACATCAGCGGTTTTATGGGCTCACGTCCCGAAATCGCTTTCTTGTGCATAGATTATTTTTCGTATTCATAGATTTGACGAAATAGTGGTATCCGAACGAACTTTACGTCCTTTGACCGTACGTCTGTCTGCACGTCAAAGCTTTTTGACGTACAGTCAGAGACAATCGATGCACAGTCAGAATCGCCACCAAGACATCTTGATGGCATTTCGCGGCGGCCGACTGCCACCAGGAAACCATCAGAAAGCCGACAAGTGGAGTCTGACTGGAGTTTGACTGTCGGTCAGAGTAACTTGTTGGCCAATCTGACATGCTTGACGTACAGTCAGGCACAGTCAGCGGTCCACTAGAAAACATTGATTGCCAAACAGGGTTACATTGATGGATTTTTCCTTCGGGTTTGTTTACAGCGACGAGCGAATCAAACTTCCCACTGAGAGCAATTATGGTGGCGGCCGCCTTGCTTTTCGGAAAATTGCTGAAACCCGTTTTTCGACTGCAAATAGAAAAATTAACCCTAATAACGTATCAAACTCAATATATACGAAGCTTAGAACGTCTAAATGCCCTTCCTAGGTCTGCCCCAGCACTCATGCAACGTCACCCTCAACGTATCGACTCAAAACACAAAATTTCCAGCCGTGCGCGCTTCCCCCGCCACAGTTTCGCATGCGAAAAGACGCGCCTCACTGTTGAACGCTAGCTCCTCCGCTAGCGGCGCTACGCGCGTTTTTCAAAGATTTCCCTAAAGTTCTTCCACAGCGTATTTATTAAGACTTTAAATATCGGCTATAGAAATATTCTCTTTCGTGTTTGTTTAAGCAAAAAGAGGCTCGTGATTCTTTTTTCCTCTTTCATATAAGGTTGCTTCGGTTCATCCCCTCTGTAAAGTTAATTTTCATGTCAATTTTCGTTCTACCAGGCATTTAATAGAGGCAGCCATAAAAATTAGACAGACATAATAATTATTTTAAGGTTGGAGCTTTTATATGTACTTTGTTTTTTCCTAGTGGTTACTCGACTAGGTAGCAATTTAGAACTCTTAACCGAAGATGTAATATTTGGTTTTCAGTGGCCCTGGCTAACGGACTGATACCTTCGAACATGCTGGATGGAGCGTTCGTGAACTTTGGAGGGTACGAGCAGTGTCTCCAAACGAGGGTGCGCTCGTCGGATGGAGAGCTTTACTTCAAAGGACAGTACTGCTCCATATTCCTGAAACCACCCCCAGGCGCCCTCGAAAGCCTCACCGCCAGATTTCAGGAAATTGGAGAGCTTACGGTAAGGGTACGATATAAATCTAAATGTAGGCCGTACGTCTTTGCGGTGTTAGCCTAAAAATAACAACAAAAATCCGTTTGTGTGAGCCTAAAAAAAACAAAAAAACATATATTAAAACCCCCAAAACACCGATATATATTCGTCAGCGTCAAAAATACAAAATACGTCAAAACCAAACATCACCAACATCTGGATAATTTTTCTCCAGTTTTTATGACTGTTTTGTCCAAAGCCTTAGCTTGCACTTCAAGCGCTTCGTGAGATTTTTTCATCGATAATCACCCTCTTTAGCACCCGCTTGAAAGAGGTTATCGAAAAAATACCGATATTTAAAAAAAAAACACATTTGCCGATTTTCTTTGTAAATAAACATCTATTTATAAGCTCAATAAACTGAAAAGTTGTGTTAGACTCACAACTGACGGCGTGGTGGTGTGGTCACAAGGCTCACTTTATTCGGTGTTTCATTAAGGTAAAGCGTGCGTTGATGTTGTTTTCTTGCCCGATACATTTTTGATTAGAAACATTTTGTGATGTGCAGAGTCGTGGGCGGGAGCACAACAACATGAAACAATAACGTAAAAAACCGGGAACAAAGTATAGCATTGAAGGACACGATTAAAGAGCCTAGCATGACGTCCAAAAATGTATTTGCATTTTGACGCAACTCGCTAAAAACCATCTCTTGAAAGCTAGCATCGGGGTTGTTTCAAAGTAAGCTTCTATCCAGCTAGTGTCGAAGTAACCAAACGTATAATTGTCTGCACAGTCCTATGGTGTTTTCTTAAACGGGGTAATCACCAGTGGCCCGACTATTCTGGAGGTTTTTAGCAGAAGTTCTAAGCGTTCACATTTTAACTTCAAACTTCCGTTTTAATTTTTTTTTTTAATTTTTAGATGTCCCATTATCTTTTAACTCCCTTGACCTTGTGTGCTGGACGTACAGAGCACGCACAAAAAAAATGCCTTTTTGACGTTTTGCTCAGCCCACTCTAAATTGATAAAGAGGGGAGTCGCCTCGCTGTACCTTTGGTCGGCACTGGTGAAGTCCTGTCCGCATGTATTTAGTGATAGTTTTGACCTCCAGACCCGCCGCTTGGAACCACTCTGGTTTTCCCTCAGTTCTAACACAGGGAGTTGCGGAATCCCTTCTGAAAAAGTTAAAAACCTTAACCATTGCACTTAAGAGGAGACCAAAGAATTTCGTAGTGTTACCCTACAATCATAAAGTGTCGCAAATTCTGAAAAAGATAGCATCCAAGTTCGACATGGACGTTGTTTTACTGCCGGGTGCAGATTGTTTAAAATGTGCGCAATGGTGAGCGGGCCGAGAGTGAAGAAACCTGCTTGCAGGGCAAGAAACACGTCACAAAGTTTGTGCCTTGTGCCACTGAGGTGGTTTACAGGATTCTTTTTACTTGTGGTCGTGTTTACATAGGCCAGACGGGACGTTGCTTAAATGTTAGACTTAGAAAGCATGCGGCTTCTCTTGGCAACAATTACGGTTCTCATTTGCCAGGGCATTTTATAACGTGTGGACGTTGACCCATGCTGTGCGGTGCTCAGGTGGAGGGACGCAACAAAGGAAGGTTAGGAAGAGGGATGCTGGAGGGCGGCGAAAATGCATGCTTGTGACGAAGACGTTTGCATTAGCGTTGCATCGGTGTATATGCAACTTAAAGAGTACAGATTCATTAACACTCTTTAGCTTGTAAATATTAACACGGCGCGTTTTCCTTTCTTTGTTCGGGTTATGCGGCGGGGTGATGTAGCTGTTTTGCTAACTTTTTGGAAAGACACTCGGCGGGCTATATATACTGATTTGGCGGTACACCGGGTTGCTGTTGAGATGAGATTACGAAGCGTGCACAGCGATAGCAGAGTTACAAGCTTTTAATAAATGTTAGTTTCCAGATAGCGCTTGTCCCGTGTGCTTCTTTGTCTTTTTGTCCCGTGTTTTTGTACAATTTTTAATATGAATGTCATGGACACTAGGTGCATGAAGCACGATCTTACACCGACAAAACATTTATTTTAAATAAAAGTGTTCTTTAAGCAATAATTATTTTGTTATGTGACTGTCATCATTGCACAAAAAAAATGAAAGTAATTCCATTAAAAAATGAAGTTTCAAGGACAAAGCAAATGGCGTCATTGTCTCTGGGGCATAAAATCATTTAATGCGCACCATTCGCAATGAAAAGTTAAAACAATCTTAATAAGTGTGTAATATGTGCATTCAAAACTTATTGATGTAGGTCGTCGCTTCCCACTTATTGCAGATAGAGATCCGATTAACATAAAAATGCTGCTTTGGCTCACAAACTACTGCTCGCTCTTAAAAAAAAGGAAAAAAAAACACGCGCGGATTGCATCTTGGTTTATAACATATGCGGTGATAAACGAAGAAAGAGTAGAAAATGAAAGCGTGTGGTGGCATCAGAACACCGAACTCTGATTGGAAGGACAGCGGGTAGATGCAAAGGCTTCCTGCATTTGTATCCACCCACCCTCCCCTCTCCATGAGAGTGAACCAGAGCGTCGTCTGCTCCTCGCACAGTCTAACGTCCGAACGTTAGACGCATCCTTTCAATCAGAGTTCGGCATCCTTACGTAACTACACGCTCTGATATTCTCCTCTCCCTCATTTTCTCATCGCCTTGAACTTGAAAAAACTCGACGATGGCAAGGTCTTTGCTCTCATTTTTACAGGAACACAACTACGCCTTGAAATTTCGCACGGTAAACAGACCTATTCAATGAACATTCTTTGAAAATTTGAGCATTTATTGTACAAGCGCCGATTTCTCCGGCTCGTTTTACAGCCGAAGGTCCGCTCGGTACACAGCAGTATGAGTCAAAGAGATCAATGACCGTTTGAAAGGACCTAAAAAATCGGTTTTTGAACGAATCGAGCTAATATTTTACACGAAGGTGGCCGAAGAATGCGTATTAAGGGGATCAAAATTCCACTGAACAAACTTACCTAACTTAAACGTTATAAATTAAAACAAATTGCTATCTGTACCTACAGTGGCCACTTTCTAATTGAAGGCGTCTGTTTGGCGTAACAGCCGACAGATGTCGACACGTCACATCGCAGGCGGACACGACCGGCGCTTCGATGCTTTCTTTGTCAGCAGGAATTGTCAGTGCAGGATATTTTTTTTCTACTAATCAAACATAAACAATGAAGGTAAAACGAGAACAACAGTTCAAATGTGTTATCTCATTTTTTTTTTCTTCTTTTATTCCAAAAATATTTTTGGCTGCACGTCGTCTGCTTTGCCTACGCCAGTTGTTACCGCGTCTCTTTCTTTTCTGCAAATTTCCTTCGCGCTGTTTATGGGCGGAAGTCATCTTCACGGTCCGCTCAGTTCCCAACGAGCGAGTGAAGTTTGCTCTCTGGCATGGTGAAGGCAAGAGAATGAAAGAGTTGCGCCGACGGTTTTGGAAAGGAGATTCGGCAGAAACTTGCGGGCTCCCCTAAAATCCTAGGCTGGGTGTGGCGCCTCAACGAGGACGGAAACATTCAAAACAAGAGACAGACAAAAGCGGCGTCACCAGCAATGCTGAAGCTGAAATATGTGGTACTCAGTGCCTTCGTGGCCGACGCCGGCCTCCCCCCTCCCCCCCCCCCCCCTTCCCTTCACTTCCCTTGACGCCGAGAGCACTGCTGATATTTGTCGTCTGTTGCGCCATTCAGACATATTTGGTTACCACATAGCCGCCGTAGGCAGGGATTTCAAACTCTTCATTTCGAACGTTTTACTTGGGGAAGTTTGTTCCGTGAAACTTTTATACGAATAGTGCACGTTCGCCAGTCATTTCTGTGCATTCCTTTTAGTTTGATACAGTTAGAGACCGATTTATACCGCCCTTTCACTTTCAAACAGTCGTCAATCCCTTTGACTTACCCTGTATATAAAAGAACAAACACATTATTGATCTGCCGTTTTTGCTCTTAATGTGGCCGAGTTTCATGCAGTGTTACTCGGCCAAATGCTGCTTAAGCAGAATTCGAGTTAGCTTTCTCCCTGCCAACTCCTTCAGTGAAATGATGTTCGCAAATATTTTGCACTTTAGGGTCGCTTCGATCCTACAAAAAGGAGGAACGCCGAGCATTTCATGAACACTGACTATAGGGGAAGCATCTGCATGCCTTCCCTTTGCACGACGGAAGACCTCAATTTCCTCGCTCGATCCGGTGAGTTTGACTTGTCACTGAGCTCCAAAATACATCACAATACAGTCTAAAAATAAAAATAGTTTTTGAAACGTCCTTTGATGCCCCAGGAGCTATTTCACCTCGCGAAGAGCAGTTTTGCTTCAAGCACTTTCTTCCCCTGGCGCACTCGAACAGCAACTGGGCGATCAAGAACTATTTCGTATAAAACCAGACGATCTTAAAAATTAACCCCTTATAGGTTTTCACACACACACACACAAAAAGAAACATTTTAAGAGGCGCTTAAAACAACATTTTCGGGGTGTAAAGGTAGACAGTCCGAAGAACCTCTGGGTTTTTCGGCTTGTCCATCTGTGTATTGACTAAACTAATTACGAGCAGTAATGCGACCCCCACCCGGCGCCTTGTTTTTTTTTCTTTGCGCGAATAATTAAGTCATTGATACCATAGCCACAGAAACAACGAGACGCGTGACGATGCCTTCCTGGAGCGGCTTGATTGACTCCAGGGGATCCTATAGCGTCGGTTGTCGTCGATCTTAATAGCGTTAAGCGGAGTACGGAAGAAGTGTTACTATACCGACAGGTGCGGAATTTTTTTCTTGTTTTTTTAAGGCCCGGGTATTGCAGTGCTGTACAAGCTTGCAAATAAAGTGAAGGAACGTCTGCCAGTAAAAATGCTTTGTATAGTCAGAGACAGGGATGGGTAGTACTTCAAATACAAGTATTTGAAACACGTGTTTTAAATACATAGTGTATTTTGCATTTGTATATAATTACAAATTGGGTAATGTATTTGACGTGTGTATTTAAATACTAAAACGTGGGTATTTCAAATACAATTGTAATTAAATACAATTTTGTGGGCGAAAATACATCCCTCAAATTTATTGTCACTGTCCAGAGCAGGAAGGAAACTACGTTCTGCACCGAATGCAGTGTCTCTCAATCAAGCACAAGCGTTTAGTGAGTTCGTGATTACAGTGCTAGTCCAGGGCAAGAATAGTGACGAAATCGACGTTCACAGGCAGACTGGCTAAATAAGTGCCTGTGACAACTTGAGATGCTTTCCAGCCTGATTTCCATCCATATTTTTGCCTGGAACATTCTAAATGCGCAGGTCGTCCAGATTTTCGTAACTGGTGAGAGTTGCACCAATAAAAAATTCTCTAGCTAGTGCTGCGCGTCTTGGTCGTCTCGGTTCTTTGTTGGTCTATACCAACATGTAATCGACAAGCAAAACTGCTCGAAGCTCTGTACTTTTTTCACCGATTACATCCAAGCTGATTACATTTTTTGTGATTATATTTCTATTACGTTACTAGAGCCTTGCACACTAACTCCCGAGTGTGCGATGCAAAATTAAAATGAGATAGAAACCCGTTGCAGGTGCCCTGAAGTCGCTGACGCAAATTTGGAGGAATGTATTTGATAAAGTATTTGGAGGAGACCATATACATTTGGTTGTATTTGTATCTTGTACTTAAATGCTTTTTTGGAAATGTAATTAGATTTGTAATTAAATACATTTTGACGAAGTATTTTGTATTTGTATTTCGATACATATTTGCATGTATTTTTCCCATCTCTGGACAAAGACTAATGAAACGCGGGCCGTGGTCTGCTACCATGTTAACGCTTTCTATGCGGTTTGCTCTTCGGCGTTTTCTATTGGCTCGTACCACAATCCTATGCGGCGAAAAACTGAGGAGGAGGAGGAAACGAGAGCGCGCGTTAGCGTCAAAACGCAAAGCTCTGGCTGGATTGATTAGCGGGTAGACCTAAAAGCTAGTTACCTCAGTCTCTACTGCACTGGTCGAACGCGTTAGAACTCGGAACGCCAGTGTCCGGCGTTTGGCTCTCGCAGTCGAATGACTTCGACCAGTGCAGTGCAGACAACGGCAGCTCGCTTTAGGTCTACCCGCTAATCATTCCAGCTAGAGCTTTGCATTTTGACGCCACCGCGATCTCTCGTTTCCTCCTCATCCTCAGTTTCTCGCCGCATTGGCTGCAGAGCTAAAATGAAATGCGCGGGAGTTGCCAGGCTCCGCCTCTCAGAAGGAGCCTCTAAGTATAGTCACATTAATATTTGTGCTTAGTATCCCTATGGTAATATGGCGTCAAAAGATGATTCTTTAGGCCTTTCCAGATGCATGAACCGCGTCGTTTAGCTTTTTTTTTTTTTGTCTAATAAGAAAACATACAGTTGTTTGCTATAGCAGCAGATAGGTACACGTTTAGAATTTTTCATTGATCGAGGCGCGTAAAAGCCTCATCCTCCAAAACTTCAAAAGATAACGTTAGGTCTTTTCTTTTACAGTCCTGGGCATTTATGGTGCAAATGCTACCGTGGCAGACTGCAGAACGGATGACCCGAAGCCACTAACGAGGCTCCAAGCGGCTGCAATGTAATACCATATATTTCTACACGTTGGTACATCGTGTTGCGACTTAAATTTTTATATCGCAGCGCAACTATTGGGGCGTTCTTTGTCCTCGTCGCCATCGGCACGGCTGTGGACTGGCATCTCATCAAGACTGCAAGTACAAAGAAAGTTCAAGGTGCGCGTAATTTTATAGCATTGATCGAAGTTTTTTTTCCTTGGTTTTCAGCGTTGCGAACATTGAAGTTGGTCTGTTCACAGCTCTTTCCAAGACTGGAAGATGCGTCGAATAAGCGTGCAGTACTGTTTCAGCTCATATTGTCCGCTATAGTACTTCCGAATTCACGTTTTGTGACAATTCATGTTAGTAAGCCTTCGCTCGGGCTCTCTTAAGAATTTTCGACCATGAAAAAAATGTATTTACGACGTAGTTGTGTGTGTCAATCCGAGAGGTCGGAGAAAAAAAGAAATGGTGATAACATTATACTTTTTTACAAATATTGAAATAATTTAGAAGCCCGGATAAACCAGGCCCAATATAAATCGCCTTATTTGTGGTAAGAATAGCTCTAATGAGCTTTTTAGGAAAAATGTAATTAAAGCGGAGGCGAGGGCTTCTGTCGGCCAAAGATTTTATACATTCGTAGCTCCATTTTCGGCGATTGTTATTCCTGCGAGCATTAAACAAGAGGAACACTGGTTTTTTTTTTAGCTACCCCCAATGAAAAGACCAACACTTTCGGAACACTTCGGCTTCTCTGTTTCCTGCATGTTATTTATTATCATTTAAATGCAAAATTGTCACTGAAAAAAAAAATGCAGTATGCCACAACTGAAGGTGAAAGTTTCCCACGCTCTCCAGTGCGGTGGCATTACATGTTTTACAACTTCCAAGCAATCAGGCAGTCTCAAAATCACACTATTTTGCACTTCATTTTATTTTTTTTGTTCCTGCTAGCATGTTTTTTTTTTGCGTGTTTATTCCACCCTGTTAAACTTCTTGTAACACATCGAGAACAAGCTGCACTGGCCCCTTCCTATAAGGTTCTTGCACCAGACCATGACGCAACGTTATTACCGGTTCGTAAGTCTCACCGGAAACCGCCGGCAACCATGTTAAAGGCATTCGTCGCTGTTATGCTATGTTTTTCGTGCGTTGGGTTCCGAACACGGCCCCAATGCACTAAAAACTCTTAAGACCAAAAATAACAAGGCACAGACTTTACAGGCAATGCTTCTTTATGCATATTAACGCGTCACCTTAAACATGCACAAAGAAGCAGCAAAACAAATATGCGATATGGGTTCATCGGGACCGCCGATTGGGAAAGCTAGAAAATAATATTTCCGCAAGCAAGACTACATTTCGTGTCAGGTGAGGAACCTCTTTGCGATTGTTTAGGACAAGAAAATATTCTGAAATGAGCTTATACAATGACGGCTCTATTACACTACGGCACTACTGCTGCCGCAATAAGTCACTAAAGGGCTCCAACATGGTGCCAAGGCACTCATAGCAGACCAGAATGTTGGTTTCGATTTCGAGTCCAACCGGAAGTGGTGTCAGGTGCAAGGGTCTTATTACAACATAGAATGGACGGAAGGACGAAGCCGTGTATACAGAGAGTTTGGTCAATAAGCGTAAGATGTAAGAAACGAATGTGCCGCTCGAACTCTGTTTTGCTCAAACAGAGTGTGACCGCCCGGGCGGCATCTTTGGCGCCTGGCATACGTATTCTCACGAATGACAAGGTGAAACAAAAATAACTGGGGAAACTGAAACGTTTAATGGGGCGAACGTGTGCCAAAAAGGAAAAGAGAACTGAAGATAACAATAGAGCGTCAAGGGCGTCGATAGCGGCGTAACAAACAGCAGGGTCGTACGCTAGGACGAGAGTAACCTCTCATTCACCCTGGAAGCGGATCCGCGTTCGGAAAGCGGTTGCGAACGCGGTTGTATAAAGATTCAATACCATTGCAGGCGCACTTGATGTCATCGAGTGCGCGTGGAATTGTACTGGATCTTTATACAACCGCGTTCGACACCGCTTTGCGAACGTGGATCCGCTTCCAGTGTGGAGGAGCGGTGACTCCGGCTTGCCACGCGGAGCCCCTTTTGTACACGCCTAGGCGTGCGGAACAATCAGCGTAGAGGTTTCCGGGTGTAGAACATTCTAACCTCGAATTAGCAACACGATTCTCGAATTGACCAGAACAATACATTAGAGTGCACAAAAATGCGTACCCGCAGCCAGGAATCGAACCCTGGCGTTCTGCGTGGAAGGAGAGGGGTATAATCGTTAGGCCAAGGCCGCGCCGCTCACTTGGCCAGCTGCGCGCGTGGCAATATTATGTCTATCGATTCGCTAGTCGCGCTCTTCCACCTTGATCTTGGATGACCGTGATTGAAACATCCCGTATACCCTATTTTCAGTCACCGAGAGTTACTCCGAGGCACTTATTAATTTTGTTTCTCGCGATCACAACCTGGATACTATTTCCGGCTTCTGGTTTGCCACATTCGGATCTGTAAAGACGCCCTGGAACACGCCCAACACACTTTCGGTCACTGGCGTCTCCTCATTTGACTCCTATACTTCCCACTGAATAACAAGACTCTCTGTATATACGGCTCTGATGGCATCTAATGGATGTAGCCTTTATAACAGGCGTTATTATTCCGCTCCTTTTCAGTGTTTTTAGTACTGCAAGTAGAGCCTTTTAACCTGTCAAACCAGATTTAGAAATTACAGTGTTTCCCCCCCAAAAAAAAAATTTATTTGTGACTTTTAATTTTGGTCACTGGTTCACATGTGTCTAATAATGTGTCGAACCAAGTTTGGGGCATATTACTGACTATCGAAATTTAACAATACCAAAAATACCTTATTGTTTATATGCAAATTTATAAAACAAATATTTTAAGGAAGGTTATCGGTGTACTTGGATACGGGTTGACAAACCAAAGCTTGCGCAGCCGCCCTAGTTTGTCAATTAAATGTATCACTTCTGAGTTCTGAGCTTTGCTCCTTCGGCATGCTATCTAGTGGCTCTGAACTCAAAACAACCATTGAGAAAACGACAAAAAAAGTACAAAGAGCAATGTCAAAAGCCACAATAAACATTTACCGCGCTTTCCAGTTGCGTGATGTCACCGGCTGGCACGAGATGACAGTCTATGGTGGAGGACAACGTTTTGTGGTAATGCGCGATTTTAAGCGCTGATTAAAGCTGGACACGCGTATTTCACATGTCTTGACAAATGCCACAGAACGTTGACCTCCAGTTACTTAAAAGAGAGTTTATGTCGCTTATTTGTTTTGTTCTGCTGAGCGAGTTCTAAAGTTAGTTTTTATTGCATTCACTTTACTATATAAAACGCCTTGTACCAATCACTTAGAATCTACTGTAAAAATACTGAACATTTCCTTACCGCTGATATCACTTTTTTAGTATTGCTGGTTTGTGTTTTCGGTATATCTATTAAGAAGACCGGTCAAGAAAAGAAAAATTAACAATGCAATTAATTCTCAAAAACGAATGTTTTGCTGTAATATTGGAGTTGCAAGTTCAGCCAGATATCTATTGGGCCAATCTTAAACTAAAATAACATTCGTTATTTTAGACGTTTTTAGCTAGATTTAAAAATCAAGAGCAAGAATTGTGCAATCGTAAACCATAAAAACTGCATAGAGTTAAGAGATACAATTCGTTATTTCAACGTGGTGTAGTTACATCAAGTCGCGGTCACTTCTCAATGTTTTGTTTGCAGCGCTGCCTGTGCGCATTTTGCACGTTTTTTCGGCAATCGACAATACAAGATTCCTGCTGAATACGGATCTGAAACCGCAAAATGAGCCTCTCAAGTTCATATCAGGTCTGAAAGTCATCATGGCTTTCTGGGTGGTGCTTGGTCACGCCTACCTGCTTACAAACCTCGGATTCTTTCGTAAGTACTGCTTAACAAATATCAATGCTCCATTACCTTAAGGAAACCCCTCGGAAGCTATCCTCATTTTAAAAGTGGGCTTAGCCGAGCACAGCGTTGTACAAAACGTGTAAAGTCACAATCGGCGCTAACAGTTTTTTTTATGCACGTCCCGGGAATTGGGAGCACATATTAGGGAGTTTTAGTAGACCGTGTTTCCCGCTTCGCCAGCCCTCCGCTACGAAGAAACCGCCACTGCGCCTGCGCGCCGATGGCCTTGGCTGTAGAGTTCCGGGTAACGGAGGTGGTTAGCGGAGCGGGAAACACGGTCTACTAAAACTCGCTATTCCCTTCCTGCGCTGTCGAAAAGTGTTGCGATCATCCCGATCCCACTACACACGTCTCCTCAATCTGCCAGCGAGCGAAGGGCAATCCGATAATAAGAGGAACGAAAAATACATCTAATGTAGATTTTATCAATTACTGGAACTGGCGAATGTCGTCCCGTAGTAATCTCGGGACCATCGAAAACACATAAACGCATCGCAAAAGCCTCTTCAAACGCAAAAAAAAAAAAAAAAATGGCGGTTTGTTGGCGTTGCTGCCGCTTACAACGGCGGGACGCACGATTGTACCCGAGCTCCGAGCAACTCCTGCAGGTCGGATTGCGAAAAACACATTCAGAGCAACGTTGGGACTATAGGCAGGCTTTGAGACGCCAAGGTACCATGAGTGTAGGCAAAACTGATTATCATGGCAATTTTTTTTCAGTCCTTGCGGAAACAAGCAGAACTCGAGCTTCAGAAGCAGCCAACACACTCGGAGGCTATCGGCCAGTTTAAAAGTGGGCACCGATAAAACCGCAATCTTATTACCGTGTTAGCATATGCGAGGCAGGCTTTGTGCAGTATTGACGACGGTGTGCTCATTTGTTGCGAAGCTGAGACGAATGATTAGAAACGAGATATATTAGACGGGCTGAAAGCGCTGCATGAACAGAAGAATAGTTCGGGTATGTGCGTCATCATTCGCTCAGCAGGGAAAAAGAAACACTGAACTCATCACTGTGTTTTTGAGTAACCTTGTGCGAGGAGAGTCAACCGTCAAAAAGGCGAGGGCCTTACCGGACGATGGCTTGGCCGGGCCTCAAAAAACTTCCGAATGAAGCTTTGAGGCCTAGTCAGACATGCTGAACAAACAAGCGACAAAGAAATGATAATCTCGATTAATTCAATATTAACTGCAGCAAGCACATTATGCTGATTGAGACGCATGCTTAAACGCCATACTCTTGCAATGTAGATACCATAAGACTCTATTGAGGCACATGTGCATCCATATAACAGAATGCTAGGCTTTACTTTCAGACGTAAACCACTGAGTGCCTATTTTCGTCGCGTGATCAAGAAAGAAGCTGTCTTGTTGAAAACAAAATATTGGTTCGAAAATGTAATCAAGCTTAATTTTCAGATTCTATCATTGAGCCCACCCGCCTGAGTAAATCGGTGATATTTATGTTTATTCCCAATGGGTTTTTGAGTGTAGTCACCTTCTTCTTTTTAAGGTGAGTCATCTTGTTTGCAATAGAAATTCACAAAATTAGTCTGGGATTCATTCAAATTAGATAGCACAAGGGTGCTTCACATGTGTTAAGCCCGGTTTAAGATACAAGTTTTTAACATGTCGTTAATCAGTGCAAACTTAGTTTACAAAACATGACTGTTTACTGCGGTCACCGCTAACCTGGTAAGGCGTTGGTAGCTGCATTTTCGTCGGTCCAATCAATCGACTACCTTTTATCGCCTAACCCCGACTTCTGTGCCCGAGTATGCGCAGAGAGCATGATCACGTGGTGCAAAGTCAACGGCTGACGTGTTCAACAAGCACCTAGCTTCCACAGCCATATCGACTTAGCTGCAAGCGGAGCATACTATAAAAACGGCGTAATTCATAGTTTCAAGATTATCGGCATTACCTTTAAAACGGAAACCCCCAAGTGATGCCACATAAGCGTAGTTAGATCACTGTATGGTCTTTTTTTAAAGAAGCCAAACAGCTGTTATTAACATAGAATGAGAATTTTTGTTCGCATTTTTTGAAGCAAAAAAGAGTAAGATTTGAGCCTTTTTAGCCATTGAAACTAGAGTTGTTGTATAAACAACACCACGCGTTGAAGTATTTGAACAGTACATACGAAAGTCTACGTCACAAGAAACAACAAGAACAACGACGCCATAAATATTTTTTGTTTCAACGACAAAAGAGTGGCATAAGATGTACTGCAGCTCCCAGTTTTCACCTAGTTGTGTGTGAGTTTTCCCCATGACGTCTATACTGCCCTTTTTTTATTTTCTTCTCCCTACCTTGTCCGCTTCATGAAACTTAACATGACAGCGAAATGTATACACTCCTAACATTTCTTCAACTCCCTGTTGCATGCCTCTTTGAAGGGTCTTTTAAAACGAGAACTTGAGCTGTCTTACATCTATTCGATGGCATTTTTGAGTGGGACTTGTAGCTTTGAGAACGACACGCAGAAAACTATGTACCATGCGGTTCAAATGAAATGGGAACAATGATAGAACTTCGAGCCCACTACAGGCGCAGCTTCCAAGCTTGGGTTGTGCTTGGCGAGGTTCAAACATGTTGAGTAGGGCGCTTCGAGGATGTGCGTCCTACTCCGATGTGTTTGAACATTGCCAAGCACAACCCAAGCTTGGAAGCTGCGCGGGTAGTGGGCTCAAAGTTGCGTGAATAATCGCATTTTATTTGAACCCCGTGCTACATCATCGGATAGTTTTAATTCTACCCCGGGCGACTTCCTTACTCCACGCTGAAAAACATATTTAGGAAGACAGTAAAAGAGATAACCACGAGCTTGGTACACTAACGCTGGGACGCTCCCCGTTCCGCCTAAAAGCTTGATAGCCTGCAAAACATAGAAATGCACTTTTTTTTTGTCGCTAGTTGTGCTAGGTTTTGACTTACCAGGTCGGCCGTGGAAACCAAATTTATTTACATTTCTCTCCGTTTGCTGTAAACCTTTTTTTTTTTTTTCAGGGGCTGTGACTAAATATTGTAATAATCGAAATACAGTGATATGCCGTTAATATGGACACCATCGTTCCGCCCAAAAATTGTCCGTAATTTGAGTTGCCCATATTAAAGAGACAAAAATGCAGGTATTGTCCCAATTTGCCTCCGAAAATGGTGTCCATATAGCGGGGTATCAATACTAAAAGGGTCCATATTAGCGAGACATGACTAAATTTGTTTTGTTTCTTACAGCGGATTTCTTCTGTCGTACAATTCAGCTGCTGCCCGCAAGACGATTTTGAAGGCAAACTCGTTCCTCTTCTTCCTCGATCGATTTCTGAGACGTTACGTCAGGCAAGTTGATGGTATTTGCTTTTAAAAGGGTAAAACAGGGTAAAGAGACACGAACTGGGACGACGTACACGCACACAGTCACATAATTACTAAAACAGAATAACGTAGGCTTGCGATTAAGGAAAAAAAACATTAGAACAAAAAATTTTCGCACCCCTTTTCTAAAATGAGCACAGATGTATTCTTTTACTGTGAACCCCACACAAATTTTTGAAAATCCAGAAAAGTTCGGATAAAAAAAACAAAAAAAAAAACAAAAAAAAACAGAGTGACCAAGAACTGTCAGTCTCAGACGTGAACTCTCGAGCGAGATGTCTGAGCCATATTCCGCTTGAGCTTGAAAGTCACCTTTGGCTTGTTAATCACAGGGTTCTCTCAGAATTGAACTACGTGTAATAAAATGTGTAACTATGCGACAATGTGATTCGAGCGTTGCCGGTGAAGAACGTCGCCCTATAAAAAAGTAGTAGCTACGATACAGAGAAATCGCTTCTTTATTCATGGACATATGCCTTTCACCTTGCGGTAGATTTTATAACTTCACTGCCACAGAGGTGTCTACCTTTTTATCAATGGTTTGAGTGTTTGGGGTTCGATGCGAAATGCATTTTTTCATCTGTGCAATGTGTATAGCTAAGTACGAGGCGCCAGAGTAAGTCATTAGCGATACAAACCCGGACACCAGAATATTATATAGGAGTGTTTAAAGGGAAAAAAGTCGCACACTTTTCACCTACTGCTTTTTGTGTCTAACAAACATATCAAGTCAATGACAAATGCCAAGGTTTGCGAGGCTCGGCTGGTAAAACTTGGAAATTATGGCGATTGTGAGGGAGCCTCATGCAATTCTTTGGGCATTCATTATAAAATTTTTATACGGTCGCAATTCAAATTGTTTGGAAAACAAAACCATCGACCGCTCCAGAAAAAAAAAAAAAATACTGGCGCCTTGTCGCACCCAAACTCGGGCGCGGAAAGATACTTGTTTAAGTGGGCCAGCCACCGCTGCCATCCTTTCGTGGCTCTGAAGGTAAAAAGCGCTCGATAATTCCATCTTTCCCTTCATTTGGATCGCAACTGACTACCTCGTCCAAGTGGTTGAGTAGTGTATGTGATGCGTGTTCATTTTGTCATTTGCGTCACGGGAGTATTTTATTCTATACCCCTCACATGCGGAAAACAGTATATTGGCCATACAGGAAGATGTCCTGATGTTCGCTTAAGAGAGGGGTCGGCAAAAGTTTGCTGCATCGGGCCAAATCGTCACAAAGTAGAGATGGAGTGAGCCGGGCGGAGAAACGGAAATGGGAAGAGTTAGCCCACAAAACAAAAGAAACAACTGTCATATAGAAAAAAAAACTATATGCGAAGACATCTCTTGATCCAGGTACGCGTGACGTGAAATGGCTCGAGCCTCCTCCCAGTACGATTTTCGGTGTTCAATAGTGCTTGACAATTAGATACAAACATTTACATTAAAGCTCCCAATACAGAGTCGTAAAACATTTCGGAGGTACTCATTTGTTATTGGCAAGACCCACTTTTGACTTCACGGCCTTCATCTTGAAAAAACACGTTCACAAATATGCAGGGTGTTTCTTTTATATTACGTATATTAAAAAATAAGTGATGACTATTATATTGTTACTGCCTTGATCTTTTTTTAACGTGGTCGGCGGATGTTAGGCAGGGGAATATTCATCACGATTTTTCGGCTAATTAACTAATATTACCTAATGAAATGTTTATACTATTGGCATTATCAGTCATTTCGCAATTGCAGTTTCAAAACCAATCACTAATAATGGCCAGACTAACTCATACAATTTGCGAAACGCAATAATCTTTTAGAAATTAGCGACACATTTTTTTGTTTGTTTAATGTTTGTCGGCATTTTAAAAAGTGCCGGCAGAAAGAGCGCCTCATTATCAAGGTACAAGAGTGACGTAACCGTGCCGGTTACGTCTTTTTCTCTGCAGTGTGTGGTTGGTGGAAGCGTCGACCGGAGGCTGCATAGAAAACGACAAAGCAGTACTCTGTCGTTTTCTATGCAGTGTGACTAGTTCTTTGAAATTACCTGTCACACTGAAAACATACGAATACTTCTAGATTAATACCTCAAAGACCATCTCCTTTACGCAAATTGTAAGGAATGATCTAGCGATTATTATCGATTGCCATTATATGCGCAATTGTAACATGACTCATGAAACCAATATATACGAAGCCAATTTGACAATATTACTTCGTTTGCCGACCGATCGTCATGAATATTGCACCGTCTAACGTCCGCAGAGCCTGTTAAATACACAGTGAACACAGCATCCACGGAACAAACTTCCGCGTAAAAAAAAATGTTACATACAAAAAAGAAAAAAAAAACTTGCATATTTGCCGTAACAAAAACTTTCGATCAAAGCCGCTGCGAGATATCGGAGGCCAGCGAAAAACTTAACAAAGTCTTTCGGTTCAAATGCATTTGTTAGCTTATTATCTGTATCAGATCACCTGATCATCAAACTCAATCTTTAAAATATCGAATTTGTTCAGACTCATCATGTTCTATTTGCCAGGTTTGTGACCAAAGGTACTGTTTGTCCTGGAGTGTGTGTGCGGGGTGCCCGACGCCGCATAAAACTGCCTCGCGGGCCGCGGGTTGTCGACAACTGACTTAAAAGAACGTGATGATATCAAGATTGAGTTGGAGAAATGTGCTATACTGGCTAGAATCTGCTAGGAACTAACCAGCGAAATTGAAACCAAAACAATTTCGCAACTGAAAAAGAAAAAAAAACTCCATTTGTATGTTTTTTTTTTTTTTGTCCCTTGTTTTTTGCGCCTTACATCATGATTTCATACTGCGTCAGCGCTTTTTTATCGTTATTATACGCAAATGAGTTTATGCATCGAGATATGTAGGAATTACGTTTGCCAGTATTCCAAGAGTCTTTCATATATTTTGCCTATGTATGTTGGTTTGCAGCTATATATTCCACAGATTTGACAGTGCTTACTTCAGTTGCAAATTAGCGCTATGTGTAGGCTGTACGTTCTTTTCGTGTTGTCTTTTGTGTGCGTTATACTCAACATTTTAGATAAGATCCCCCAACTATAGCTCAGGATTCGGTCTCACCAAGTATAATCATCGCAGGTTGACGTTTCCAATGATGTTCGTCATGCTGGTAGCATTCCTGCTCCCCCTTATGGGCTCCGGGCCGGCAGACAAGGAAACCTACGAGATGATGGTCCAAGAGTGCGCTACAAGTTGGTGGAGAGTGTTGACTCACAACGACAACTTTCTTCAGGACCGCGCAATGGTATTGAACGATTGGTGGTTTAACTTCTATCTCTAAACTTTAATAGACCGAATTTAGCACTGCTTTATGTGTTGGTGTTCATATGCTTATTTAGTCTATAGTGGCAGCAGAATCTAAAGTATTGAACATAACAACCCAGTTGAAGTTGCAAAATATTTCATATAATACAGACGAGAAAATTGTTAGTGAAATGTGGGAGGTGAATAGAAGGAAAAAGAAATCTCAATACACCAGATCATTTTGAACTAAGAGATTTATACGTATTACACTGATCACCCATAGGGATAATTACAAACAATATTAAGTCGTTAAATGTTTGTTTTTAATGGCGACACATACGAAGCTCGTAATATAATTGGTGCCATTAATGCACCAGTATCAAAGATTCTCTGTAAAATATAGGGAACCAAACTGAGGCCGCGACAATTTTCCGAAAAAAAGGGGTTGTAACGAGTATTTTTAAAGATAAAAAACAATCGGGGTGCGCACACGATGGCGCCAAATAGTCATTATATGTTATGATTAATCGGCTTTTAACGATATTTCTTTTACTTTAGCTAGTTATGGTACAGAATTAAATATTTTGTATACGAATTTTATCATCATGAATTATGTCACTTAAAGGTTTCTAGGGACGTTTTAAAATAAATCAAAACGGTTGCATTGAAAGGGACCGTTCACGAGATTGGCCAGGAATGGCTCTCACTTTTTGCAAGCTTACCCGCATAAGTAAGGGAACCCAAATGCGCTCGCACGCAGCGCCACAAAACAAGAATCTTGTTTTTTTTTTGTTTTTTTTTTTTTTTGCCGCCGCGTAATTTTAAGAATAAATTCATTCGTTTTCTTTCAGTCTCTTCTCAGCACTTGATGACGAATTTGTGGGGATCGCATTGTTCGCATTGTCAACAATCCCAAGGATTTCGTCATCAAGATTTTGGGATATTTAGGGTGACGATATTTAAATGCAGCTCGTAGAGTGGACACGAGCATTGCGTGTGCATTGATTGTGGACTCGTGACAATCCATACCCATGCATTCGTTCGGGTGGTGGCTCGTGCAGAATCGCTGCAATAACGAGAATAGTGGAGCTCGATGCGTGCCGTGTGCTTTGCCAACCCCAAAGTCATTGGTTTCTGGGAAACTAGGGCCATTGCCTCCCACAGCCTGCCACCCTACATGAAAAGATACTAACATGCAGACGACCAAACCTAGCAAGGTGATATGCTGATCGCCATGGCAATCGCCATTCTGGTTCATTCGGATTTTCTAAACTTCAAAAGGGTCGTTCTAAACCACTCGCGCCACGATGGCTATGGAGAATAATCGTACTGAAAGCGTTCCTCACAAATAAAACCGACTTTGGCGGTGTGCATGCATTGAACTTACCAATCATGCTTATTTCCACAAATCCCTCGCAATGGCAATGTTTTTCTTGTATATTTAAAGACAACAAAAAATATTTTTGATTGACGGCAAGCAGCGACGCCGCATGTGGTGGCGGAGTGAAGATGTGCGCTTGTTTCGCCGGTGTATGAATAACAAAATATCGCTGTTCAAGAAATGCCTTTTTAAAACAACCTGTCACCCGGAATTCGGATCAGTTTAACAAGAATGAAGAGGTCAAAGAAAAATTTGCCATGGCCTAAATCAATATCCCGTCCAAACGGAGAGCTTGATGCTATTTTCCCAGGATTCAGTGAATTTAGCCAACGCGTGGCTAGGCTAAGATCTGGTGACATATAATTGTCTCCATAACACGTGACTGCTTATTCTTCTTGCGACCCGATGATGTTAACTGTGCTGGTTTTTCTTAAGTGTTTTTTTCTGCAGCTGTTATTGCGTGAGAAAAGGGGGAAAAACTAACGCGTTTTATTGATTAGGAATATCAAGGGATAATTCAAAGCAGTATTTACTAAAAGTCGAAAAATATTTTGCGATAAAACCTTAATATCACTTTAAATTGATAAATAAATAAACCCAGTCACACAAACCCAATATAGACTCATTTTGAACTTCTGACATACATTGATGTCGGCTCAACTCGAGATTCAAAATGTGTTGGTGTCCGACATGTTTCGTCGCGATACTCTCTGGCGTCGTTTAGTTTTAAACGTTCTCTCGTCGTCACATTATGTAAGTAAATTGTAGGGGCCCCGTGCTAGACACTTCGTTGCTTTTTGATTTTCTCTTTTAGCACGCAGCACCATCGCCATTAACAAACACCTTTGTGGTCGCGAGCGCGCGTGATTAAAGACATTCCATCCGAGACATCGGAGTCGCTTGACGTTTTTTTTTTTCTACAAACTGGTGACGCGGAATCTTGAACAACGTCACTTTCACACCTCGGACGCCGGATCCAAGCTAAACATAGATCAAGGAAACGCTTTTTCCGACAGTGACGTGACAGCAACCTTTGTTGACTCCGCTCTCGCTACGATCAAGGTTCGTCTACCAACGTTCTGGCCTAAGAACTCGCAAGTCTGGTTTACCCAGGTCGAGACCTGTTTCCACCTAAGAAGGATCCCAACGCAAAATGCGCGTTACTACCACGTCGTCGCCTCTTTACAAGCGCTGGTGGCAGACCAGTTTGACGACGTGTTGGCCCTACCGCCACGAGAAGATGCCTACGACCATCTGAAGGCAATACTTCTCGAAAGGACAATGTCATCAGAGATCTCCCCTATCCCACAGCTCCTCACCTCCGAAGAACTGGGTGATCGTTGCCCGACGCAACTTCTACACCGCATTAAGCAGCTGTTGGGACCGCAAGCTTCAGAAGCACACGGTTCCATACTGCGGGAGTTGTTCATCTAGAAGCTTCCTCAAGGCATGCCCCTAGACCGCCTGGCAGTGCTCGCCGACCGCACCGCGGAATATTCCTCGCGGACCGTGAGTGTGTCGCAACACCGCAACCAACAGCCTGGGAAACACGGGCTTTGAACATAGAAACCAAACTAGAGCAGCTCACGAACGCCATTGCTGCCATGAGTCAATCACAAATAACTCCAGCGCGACCGTCGCGATCCCCGCTACGCACTCCCCCCCATTACAGCTCTGCGTCCCCACGAGATTCGCGTTCTGACCAGCACTGCTGGTACCATCGCCGCTTTGGTGAGTGAGCCACACGGTGCACGAGACATTGCTCGTGGTCGGGAAACGCCGTGGCCCAGCACTAGCAGCGGTGGGTGACCAAGGCCACACAACAAGCCGCTTGTTCTTTGTCGTCGGTCGAATCGCAGGGCACTGTTTTCTTGTTGACACTGAGCTGAAGTCAGCATCTTACCAGCGTCACGCAACGACCGCCTCCAGCAGCAGGCGCCTTCGCCTCCCCTGCGTGCCGTCAACAGCTCTGCGATCAAGACGTACGGGCAACGATCCCTCACCATCGAAATCGGACTGCGTCGAACATTTCGATGGGTTTTCATCGTAGCCGACTTGCGACAACCAATATTAGGAGCAGGCTTCCTCTCACATTTTGGTCTGTGTGTGAACCTTCAAGCCCGGCGACTCATGGATTCGACAACATCATTGTCAGGGAAAGGCATCCTTTCCAACTTCACGGTGACTTTGCTACAACCACTTCCAGCTACATCGCGCTATGAAGCCTACTTCACTGAATACCCCACACTCTCAAGACACAACAACCTTGAACTCCCTGCCAAGCACGAAGTCACGCACCACAAAACAACTACCGGCCCAACCGTCTCCGCACGCCCTCGTCGGCTTGCCGGCGAGCGCCTCGCCATCGCATTTCGTAAGTTCGACCATATGTTGCAGCTAGGCATCGTACGACCCCCAGCGAGAAATAGGGCATCACCTCTGTACATGGTCCCTAAAAAAGACCCCAACGACTGGCGACCGTGCGGAGACTATAGAGCGCTGAACGCCTGCACAGTTCCCGATCGCTACCCCCTGCCGCATATTCGGAGCTTCTCTAAAATCTAACAGGTACATCCATCTACAGAAAAATCAACTTGGTAAAAGCGCATCACCAAATTCCTATGGAACCGGCATACATAATGAAAACGGCCATCACTACACCGTTCGGACTGTTTGAATACGTCCGTATTCCCTTCGGTTTGCAAAACACTGCTCTGACGTTCCAGCGATTCATTGACGAGGTAACGCGAGGTCTGCCTTTCGTTTTCGCTTACTTGGACGACCTTCTTGTAGATAGTGCCACACCAGACGAGCACGAGCAACACCTCAGAGTTTTATTCGACCGGCTACAGGAATTCGGCCTTGTCCTTAACCCTACTAAGTGCGTCTTCGGAGTGGATAGCTTAGTAATCCTTGGCCATCGCATCACCCAGCTAGAAATCCAGCCGCTGGAAGGCAAGGTAAAGGTGATTCGCGATTGTCCACGACCAACATCTCTGCGCAAGCTCCCAGAATTCTTGGGTCTGGTGAATTTACATCGCAGATTCATACTACAGTGCGCGAAAATTCTTAAACCAATGACAGACCTTCTGAAGACAAAGAAAAGACCGTCATCAGAAGTGCCATGGAGCGAAGAGGTTGCGTCAGGCTTTGCCACAGTGAAAGAAGCTTTAGCCAATGCAACACTTCTTGTCCACCCACTTCCTGATGCACCCAACCGACTCCTCACCGACGCCTCCGACACAGCTCTAGGAGCTGTCCTGCAACAGCAGTTAGACAGAGTCTGGAAACCGCTTGGTTTCTATTCACAAAAACTGAAGCCTGCGGAAACGCGCTATAGCAACTTTGGTCGTGACTTGCTTGAAATTTATTTGGCTGTCAAACATTTCCGCTACTTCCTAGAAGGACGACCGTTTCATGTGCTCACAGACCAAAAGCCCCTGACATACGCCTTACGGGGCAACCACACGTCCTACTCGGCGCGTGAGATAAGACGTCTTGGCTTCATCTCAGAGTTTACCGCCGACCTTCGACATGTCAAGGGCCAACAATGCAGAGTAATACTCTGCATTGTAACGTGCAATAATGTAACGTTGCTTTGTTTCCTGCTCCCAGATAAAACATTCTTCACCCGCGTAATGTTTCATGCAAAGCGCTTTGTTTTTATTTTTGTTTTTTAATATGTGTTTGAGAACTCGCATCTAATGTGGCCATTCAAAAAAAACATTAGTCACACTTTATTTTCAGTTACCGCTGTGTAATTATTAGTTAACAATTTAGAACATAATGGCAACATAGATCCTAATACTGTCTTTTTTGCAGTGTCTGCAGCATTTTTGGTACGTTGGTGCCGATATGCAGATATTTGTGATCATCGCATTACCCCTGACCATGCTCATTATTAGGTGAGTAGTACTTCCAGAGCTCGGCTACCATTTTGAGACGTTCACTTGCAAGTAACAAAATACACACTTCACAAACTAAAATCGCACGAAGAAACAAGACCAATTGAAGCGTAGGCGCACATGAGGCAAGTTTTAAAGTTTAATTCGATTTTCGCTCACTATTCCTGTAATGTAACTTTGCATGTATTTCATTCAACTAAGTTATAAGTAATACTCTGCATTGTAACGTGCAATAATGTAACGTTGCTTTGTTTCCTGCTCCCAGATAAAACATTTTTAGCTGAGATACTTGCTCTGGTGCCCAGATTTTATTATTCTTGTTTAATTCTGGAAACTCTTTTCTGAATCACTATAGTGTATACATCATATTCTGGACTTGGTCTATAGACGGATTGAAAATTGGACGTCGTGTGTAATCCTTACATCTAGATAAGCAAATGCCTGAGACACACTATACTAAGGATAGAATAATTTTATAATTTTCGCAGCGTGAAATTGTCGCAGTTTCATCGAATATGTTTATTGAGAATCGAAGAAAATGGAAACGTAACATTTCGGAAGTATTATGGCGTCTTAGTTATAATCAAATGAAGGAACTCGCATATTAGAGATCATCAAAAACGGCCAAGCGGTAAGAACATGCGTAAAAGAAGTGCGTGTACGAATGCACCCCTTGAGGTTCCGGGGTACCAGCTTGCAGGCACTGGTTTTAGGTGGTGATAATCTCTTAGCAAAGTAGCGTAGAACTAGATTACAACAATCCGGATCGTTCAGACATTCAATTTTTTCTTACTCGATATAATACGATGATGATAACCTCCCTGAACCCGGCCACCATAGGCTTGCGCCGAATGATAGTATAGAGAGAAACTTGAGAGGTAATAAATAAGACGACGTTATTAACAAAAGCCACGTCGTCCGCGAAGAGGTGGTTGAGTTTGTGTTTTTGTTCGAAATCATGTTTACCGATCTGAAAACACAACGTTCCCGACCTTCTAGTTAAATTATAACATTTCCGTACCTGCTGCTACCCACAGCTTAGCACCGTAAAAGCTGGTTCTCGATAGTGACATTGCCATTATAGTTCACGTTTTAATTTTTGATATTGTTAAACATTTCACAATAACGCCTTTCTCTTTTTGTTTTCTACAGGTTTCCAAAGATTTCGTGCGCTATCGGAATAGTGGCTGCTGTGGCATTCTCAGCCTTGACATCCGTCCAAATACATTTGTGGGACCAGCTTTATGCCTTCAATTTTGGAACTTATGACACTGTGTAAGTTCCCTCAGACAGAGGCCAAAGTATTGTGATGGCATGTTTTAGTGCACTCAAACGCTATCGACAGACAAGGGGAACAAAAATATACAATTTTGTAGAGAAAGTCAAAGGTGCAATGCGAGTATAAGTTCGAATAAAGCAACACCAATGCATTGAAAATGAAATAATATATATTTCTGAACATGCTGTTCATCAAATTATGAATTGAGTCAAACATGCATATTTTGTTTGCGAAGCGTTTGCTTTTCGCGGTGCTTGCTTTGCGCCACTGGAGCAAGGGCACTAAATAATACTGACGTTTCACAATGGATCAGACAGGCCAGATAAAGCAAAGCTTCAATAGTGAAAAACATTCGCAAAACCGCGACGTGTTCTCAATTAGTTTTAGTTAGCCATGAGATGATATACATTTATTCAGAACCTTCAAATATATTAAGTATATGTATGCTACACGCAGTCTTCGTCACAGACAGTGCTGAGGTGACACAAAAAAAAGACTAGAATCGGTACGAATAAGAAAATTAATGACAAGTTTCTGCAACCACATGATATTGAGCGGAAAACAAGCAAAATCCGAAGAAAAAAAAAGCTTACAGAAAGTAAAGTGCCTATTTGCCTTCTGTTATTCTGATACGTTTTCTTCCACTTTTTGTTCTACACCCAGACTGATGTGACTTAAAAATGTCATAAGTCTACACCAGCTCGCCTGCGCCATCACTGTATTTTTTTAGTTAAGATGTGCGTTTAGTAGCTAGATTGGTATTTTTATTACAATACGTAGTAGAGTGTAAGCTGTGTGGTGACTTTCCAAATTCTAAATAAATATAAGACGCATCCATTACAACTTTTCCATTCCAAACAAAACAAAAACTCTTTAGACGAACGTTGCTTGCGACAACTTCTTGGGCGAAGTTTTGAAGTGATTGAAATCGTTCAATGCGTACGCGACTTTTCCAAGTGTACACAGACTGAGGCATGGCTGATTAATTAATTTGTTTGCTTTTATCTCGTCTTTGACTGCTTCAGAAACGCCCGGTATAGCATATTTGGTGCATGTTGTCATCGTTCCACAGTCTAGTTAGGTTGCGGAATTTTGCAGATAAAAATGCCGAAGAGCGTAGATACGGAGCTAGAAGCGCGAACATCAAAAGCAGTGCCCTGCACCTCTCAAGCTGCCATGGATTATATACGACGAGCAAGTGCTCTAAAAATGCGCCTTCAATTGGAAGGCCGGACCGCAAGGAGAGGCACGACAACCAACGGACAACATAGATAACGCGGAGGGAACGCGCGACGACATGGCATCCAAGCGTGCGCCGTCATGGGTTAAGGTCAAGGGGAAATAAAAAGACATGGGCTCATTTGGCGGGGGAACTAATACACGAGGTGCCGTATTTGCTTCCCGTTTGAGGTTTGTCGTTATTGCTTAGTTAGACGCACTGTCCGGATACGGTTTGAATGCGCCGAGAAAGTAAGAGACCGCAGGGATGTCAGAACACCGAGCTCTGGTTGGAACGATTAGTGGGTAGACCTAAAGCTAGTAGTTTTTATCTACACTGCATTACTCGAACGCGCTAGAACACGGGACGAAGGCGTCTGGCGTTTGGCTCTCGGATTCGAACGCGTTCGACCAGTGCAGTGGAGACAAATGCAGCTAGCTTTAGGTCTACCCACGAATTGTTCCAATCAGAATTCGGCGTTCTGACGACCCCGCGCGCTCTCGTCTCCTCCTCTCCCTCACTTTCTCAGTGACTGCACATCAATGTGCTGTGTTGTGTCACTGTAGTTCCCGAATCTCGCTAATTTCACACCCAGCGAACGGAAGTAGCTTTGTCAGATGGCTGAATCAACAAACAATGACTGTTAAAAATCAAGCCCCCCCAAAAAGGCACGAGGTACACCTAAGCACCTCTTATGAGTTGTGAATGCGAAAGCACCCACGCCGCTCTTCGCGCCTTTTTTAATCTGCGGCGTACAACGCGCTGACCTTGGGCGTAGAACGGTGGAGCCGCTGCCTCGCGGACACTCAGCGCCATCGGATGAGCGATCGTTCATACTGTAGTGTGCCTTGCGGCGCGAGGATGGAACAGACAGCAACGTAGTTCCAGCAGAACGAACCCTTTGGTTTATTCCATACGCCCTATATATTGCCACGCGCCGTACAACCGATAAGAGGCGAGCGAACGCGGTGATCACTGATAACACAACAGTGTGAAAACACAGTCAAGATGACACCTCACAAACTGACGCGTAGCGGCCAATGGGAGCTTCGTCGACGCGCGACAACCAATGGGACCAAAGTGTAAAAAGTGCCGTTGGCTAGCTTTGCGCGTGGTGGTTTCGAAGCTGATGACGTCGGCTCGCTCCATGAGACAGTTCATGCTTTCGCATTCAAAACTTTGCATTTGCCGCGATAACACCTTAATAGGCTCTCAATGTCCGTATTGTATTTCTTCTTCACAGAAAATTGTCGGAGTCACTGAGCTTGATCTACTTTCGCCCGTTCACGCATGTGGGCTCGTACGTTTTAGGCATTTTGTGCGGCTACTTGGCCTTCGTTCACAAGGAAGTGCATATTCATTGGGTAAGTTTATTTCCCCCATCTTTTTCTGCCCATGCTGTTATCGAGTATTACGTGTAAATGAATAATTATTACAAAATAATGCCACTAGCCGCTAAACACAAAAAGATGGCGTTCGGTACTCCAGTGGCCACGCGTTTGTCAAAGTGATAGATTCAATGTCGCGTGAATAATTCCTTATGTTGATTTAATTTTAGTAAGATGTTAATTTAGCCCATGCGGGCTCATACGCTGACATGTGAAATCTGTAAGGAGGCTTATAAAAGTATATAAAGAGTTCCTGAATCAGTTTATATGTTCTCAGGAACGTTCTCAGTGCAATTAGCATAGACCGCCGCTACTCAAGAAAATGGACCCTTTAAAAAACAGATGACATCTGAGGTTTTTAAAATATTCATTTATTTTTGCACTTTGCAAATAACCGCACATTATTGCTTGGTACGACTACATAGGTTTCACAAATACACTTATGACATTGAAAAGTCCAAAGCTTAGTGACATATCCCCTTTGGTGGTAACAGCGACACTTTAATATGGTAATTATGTTTCAACCTTAGGAAGGATTGACATCCATGTACCAGAATCAGGCTCTATTATTCCTACACCCAGAAACATAAACAGACATAAAAACGATTAGAGTTTTAGATAATGAATTCGTTTGAACCATCATGTTTTCACGGACGGCCCAGCTTGTTTTATTACACAGATATAGATCATATATCATGACTACACTACTCGTTGCACATATTATTTTGTCTGACTTCGCCCATCATTTACAAAACCCCTAAAAAGAAAAAAAACTTTTTTTTTAAAGTTTGGTTGGGACACGTGTGTCAAAAAATAAATTTTACGCGAAAAATATTTTTCCTATAGCAATATTGACGGCGAGAGATTTATTCGAAATTCTTCGCGCGAAGTTTATGACGCCACGGGTCATTCCGAAATGACCGTCTCGGTCGTGAAGGCGAAGCCGATCCACCTCTCCTCCACGCACCCGAAACGCCAAGAGAGAAAACAAGTGAAAAGGAGGTGACATCCGACTAAATCGCGTCTCGCGCCGTCAATATTGCTCTAAAAAAATTCTTCCCCAGTAAATTGTGTTTTTTTTTTTACATAAAATACTGTTTAAAAAAAAGTTGTTTTAAGCAGTCTGGTTAAGACACCCAACCGGACTGTTAAAAAAAAAAAAAAAACTTCTTTTCTTTTCGGGGGAACTTTAAGGAGGAACACTGACGGTTCCTTTACACATTCAAAGTTATTTATTTATAGCCGTGTGAAATGGTCCTCGGAGATATATCGTATGCTGGGGCGTGAGCTGTTCCTCTGCCCGCGACACAAAGTAGGTTTATGCCGACTACAGCTCAATCGTCTTCCAATACTACCTAAAAACCATTCGGTAATAGCAAAAAAGTAATCAAACTTTGATTCTTAATTTTTGGTCATGTTTCACAATTTAAAAAGAGACAAAGTAAAACGATAGACGTCACGAATCATTAACTTAATGCATACATTAGTACGCAACACAGGTGCCACGTTTGTGTTCATATTATACCTCACTGAGAGAATTATCAGTGGCCTACACTGACTCATAAAACAGCGTGCCTAAAAAAAAAAAAATATCAATTTTTGTTTTTGTTTTAGCCTAGATGATTTGTATCTCTCGCAAGTTTCTCTCGCAGCTCCTACTATCAAAAATTGACACTTTGGTACAGACTATTTTTACAAAATGTCATTAAAGTGACAACATTCCTCGTGACGCCTGTGTTTCTTTTGATGCCCGTCAAAGGGCTCATATGAAAAGGGCTGGAATAAATTCAGTGATACAAAGCAAGGCAACATGGTCGAGCCGAGGGTTCCCAGCTTGCGTGCTTTTTGATAAACAAATTTTAGGACTTGATGGTTCTAAGTTGTAACAGTAGCTTCTCCTGTCAAGACAACACCCATGAGCGCAAAAAACAGTAGAAAGGAAACTCCGCATGGCCCTTGTGTTTCCACAATTCACGAAAACACTTTGGACGGGTTTCGGGTGCCCCATGAGAAATAATTGTATTTGAGATTTCTGGGTCAGTTTGTTCTTTGCATTCACTTCTTCCTTCTAAACCACAGGTTTCTTTTACGAATCTCTTTTCTTCTAACTTTACCTCGCAAGTCTAATGGTTGGGGGGTTTAACAAAAATAATATATTTTATTGTTCTTTCTGCTACGAGCATTTTCTTTTAGGCGTCAATCCTGCGTTTTATTCTGTCTTTCTAGCTGCTGCAGAAAGTTCTGTGGCTCGCATCTCTCGCCTTAGGGTCTTTTGTCATTTTCGTCACATATCCGTGGAACAATGGAACTACACCAGACGACGTCACTGCCGCACTTTATGGAGGGTTCCACCGAACGCTCTGGGCGCTAGTGTTTTTCTGGCCTTCGTATGCATGCGCCACTGGCCGAGGAGGTATGTCATCTTTTTTTTTTTTTTCCAATGTCGTACTCTTTTTGTGACAAGAACTAAAGTCGAAAACATATGACGGAACTTGATCTCAAAGCCACGAACACTGACAGTCGAGCTGAGGGCTGCAGATTATAGACTCTTGTATGCCTAATATTTCCACTAAACTTTGGTTCTGGTCAATTATGAATCGTAAATAAGCTCAGTGTCGTTCACAACTTCGTTTTTAATAACAAACAATTTCTTAGTCACTTTAACAAGAAATAACGATAACAGAAAAGTAGCTATAACAGCTTAAACTGGCTAAGAATATTCTCTTGCTTCATTTCCAACAACGTGGAGCCAAGATTAAAAAAAAATGTGAAGAAAACAAGCAAACTAGATTGCATGTTAGACGGACGGGACGATCAGTCTTTGACAGCTTGAAAAACGCGGGGCGTGTCACCACCAAACGTCTGATTATCGATTTGCAGCAAGAGCGCTTTCTCAATCAGCCGATAATAACAAAAAGAAACATGTAACAACGCAACAAGCGTGAACATACTAATGCAATGCCCCGCATCTATTTAGGTGTCATCGACTATATGGGAAAACCGAAGAGCTTGACGGGTTCATGGCGGACCTTGTCCGTGAAGAGTCCCATCTACTTGTTACGTAGGGCTTTCGTAGCAAGAGCAACGGTTTTCTCCTAATTGAGGCACCGACAGTTTAATACACGTAGGGCCTGAATTGTCATCTGAACGCTTCTTGTTTCGCGATCGTTGTTTTGCGGCGTTCTAGTCGGCTGGTGCCAAAACCTCGCTCACCGCGGAGAGCCAACGAGTTGCTCCGGGCTTGTCACGCCTCGTGTTTCTTTAGTTGACAAGAACTCGGTTTGTGCTCGTGCTGCGTGTTACCTACCAGGTGCATACAACCTGGCGGCCATTCTACGGTGGCTCAGACGATGTGCTCCTAACTCGTACATAGGATTTTCTATTATTTTCGGATTAACGAGATGTTTCAGCATCCTTCTGTCGCGTTTAGTTACAAGTAGAAATGTTGTTGAGAACTCAAGTTGCGGGAGGATTTGTTAAAATATTTTCTACCTCAAAAAGACAAAAAAAATTACTTTATGGGCAGAGTGCACCACCCGATGTGGAGCACTTCAATGCCGGGAGTAATCTGCCAAAGAAAAAAATTCGCAATTTGAAATGCGCAATTTATTTTGGTTAGATTATAATATTATATATGCAATTTAACCTAGCGCGATTCCAGTCGAAAAGACGGAAACGTCTCGTACCCGAAAAGGTTTTCATATTTTACTTGTTGACAAATACTATAAACCCCGAACGCCCTTTTGAAAGGAGAGTGCAGTAACGAGGAGCAGCATCTTGTTGTACTCTTCGAGCAACATCCACATTGCTTCTACATTGCTTCATTTGGGGTGCCGCTAACCTCATATTTTCGCCCCATTTAAAATCGAGAAAGTCTGGTTATCTATTGCACCACTGCAATTGTCAGCTGCGTAAAGCGTTCATTCGTTAGCAATGAGCCATGACGGTGTGATTTGAATATTGGTTTTTGCACGCATTCTCACTATATTATGGGGGTCCGTGCATGAAATATTAAGCAGTAAAGATATAAATGCTCCTTGTGCCTAAATAGCAGTGATCTAATTCAAATGTACAAGGAAGAACCACTATGGTTACTTTCGAAATACAATTCTAGCTAGTTGTTTCTTTAGTAGTTTATCGCATATAGACGCATATACAAAAACTTTGTTCTGAACTATCTAAATCAATAGGATGCATATATAGAATTCATAAACTGCTACCTCCATGGTTAAAAAAGGAATTGTATTATTCTTTATGTTACTCAAAAATAGCATACGGTGCATTGGTATGGGGTACCACAACTATGACGAACTATAGTAAAATAATAGTCCTTCAAAAACGAATTCTTTGCATGCTGGACAATTTTCAGGGTAATTGGCGAGACTTACGTACGGACCCACTGTTTTAAAAATTCACTATGCTAAAGGCTAACAAAATATTTTACTTTCAATTACTTCAGTTTATCCAAAAAGAGAAGTTATACCTAATACCGAAAAATGTTAGCTCAGATGATGCACTGAGAACAAAATATCTGAAAAAAAACCCAAAGTAAGAACAAATTACGGCAAGCAACAATTGGATTATCAAGTTTTTTCCTTGCTAAACAAAATTGAAGAAAAGGTAAACTTTCAGTGTTCCTTTCCGATTTTCAAGAGAAATGTTAAAGAACTCCTGGTGGAGAGTGATATCGTTTTTGAATGAGGAACATAATGTGAAAATGTCCTTTTTTGATGTACCTAGTATTCTTTTTTCAATCGTGCTAAATCTGGTACAAGTGCTTATTTTGAATTTTTTTTGGTTCTGCATGGTGCATTTGCAGATGTCCTGTTCTGCGCTGTACTGTAAAGGGAGGTAGGGGCCTCGTCAAGCTGCAATGGCAGCTTTTTTCTCTACCTCCCCTCTTCCCCTTGTTTAAAGAGAAATAAATTTAAATAAAATGATAACATTTATGTATATATCTCATGTTAAGCTGAATATTACCCCTTAAATATATAAGCGTTTTAGGATATATGGTCTACTTAAATACAACCCTAAAAAAACACAAGCCAAAACGTTATGAAATAGTCATCGGTAGGCAAAAAATGTTTTCAGCCTTCCACGAATTGCGAGGCGCCATCATATACTTCCGAACATTTGTAATGACTCATTTTATTTTTAATCAACAGGCCTCCTGTGCAAGTTTCTTGGCTGGAATCTTTTCCTGCCATTGTCTCGGCTTACTTACTGCATATATTTGGTTCATGGACTCGTTTTCTATCTCCGTTCGATGCGAGTTAGAACTCTGATACAGATGGATGAATTCTTCCAAGTGAGTATCTTCGGTTGAAGCACTCTTGATGTTCAAGTCCGAATTTTAATATGACACAACGCAGATTAGCAGTATCAAACTTTTGTTATTTGGCTGGCCTATTTAATCTAGCCACCTCTCTATTGACGCAACATCTGTAATATAAAATGCCACTTAAAATACTGGAAATATCCTACATTCACAGTTTTCGCTAAGAATGCTTGCGTCACACAATAAATCTTGTAGGTCTCGCAATGTTTGGTGCCTGCTAGCTACAACAGCGTTTGATGATTTAAATAATGCAACATTTTCCGGTTTTGGGTCCTACGTTTTGGTTTCTTCTTTTTCAGTTCCTTCTGGCTGCTGGTGTTTTTACTGTGAGCATCTTCTTCGCCTACTTAGTTCACCTGATGGTCGAGGCACCCACGATCCGTTTCGAAAAGATGATACTCGATCGACCAACACGACTGAAATCAGAAACGAATGGCACACACAGATCCGAAGACAAGATGGAGAAATCACAGCTATGATCTAAGGAACCACTAGTCCAATGCCACAATGCTCGTTTTTAATGGCATACCTGCCATCCTTCTATCTCGTTACTTTTCTTGCAATGAATTTACAAATATGTAACCCCAATGTTACATGATGCTCGATGCCGTTTTCTTTGGCAAAGAAATCTGCTCTTTTGACTGGTGGAAGCTGATAACATCTATTTGCTTCACTGACGCCCAACTCCTGGTTAGCACGTTTGGCAGAGCGTGCTAACCAGGTTATGAATAAATCCCGGGATCGAAGCCCGGAACACGTAGATTTTTCAGCTGTGCGCCATTCACATACGGCTCGAGTTTCTCCTCTATTTATAAAAAGAAATATTTGTTTTGTGATACATATTTTACACTTTGAGAATTCTGAGCTAATTAGTGCGAACCGGTTGTAAATGTGAGATTCGAAAGATGATACACGAAGGACGCGAAATCAGTGAAACAAGCCTCAACAAAAAAGGCAAAAAAAAATAACAAACTACTTATCTATTTTGTTTACACTACCGAAACGTAGCATTGACTTTCTACGGTCCAATATTAAGCAAGTTTCAACTCTGCACAGATAATCTAGATTTTAACGATTTTAACGGTTTCCTATATTTGACTTCCTGAGATCATTATTTCTAATGTGACTTCGACATAGTTGAATTTATTGATGGTTTTCACATTCCCTTTGGCGACAAAAAAAAAATTATAAATTTGTGTTAGCATACCCTTGACACACAGAATTAACCATAATAATTTTATATTTTTATTAAGATATTGGTTGTTTGTTTTTCCTCAATAAATTTCGGCTTTTGAAAGAGAGAGAGAGAGTGCGAACTGATTATTTTGAAAACTACACGCAATTCAAATTTGCCGTACCGTCCCAGATATTTTCTGAACGGCAAAGTCGGTTGCACAGAAATTTCTTGCAAGCGTGAGCCGCTACGACGTAATCCGGAAAAGATATGCATTTAAAGTGCGGCGTCGAGCTTTCATTCGCGTTTTTATTTAAACTCCATGTTCATGCGAATACTGGAACTGGGGGATTGATCTTGCAAGGCGTTTTCTACGGTTTACTTCAGTGTGTATACTTATACGACGGTTAACAGTTAGTTTAGCTACGCTAAAGATTGTTCGTCACACATATCGTGGCATATTTTTTTTTCACAAGTTATGTGATGGAAAATGCATAATCAGAAAAAAAATGTAGGATTCAATCACACGCAGACCTGTGCCAGGTGTCTGTACTGTTATTAAAAATTTATCAGTTCTGCAATACGCGAATGGAGGTAATGCTTAATTTTACAGTAATTTTGTGTTTAAATGCAAAGCAGGTACGTATGTTTACAAAACAGAAATGTAGTTTTCAAAAAATGTATTCGATTGATTCCGTTTTTGTCATTCGCGTACTTTTGTTAACTTTCTGTAATGAACTATAGAACTTAACCGTTTGAAGTACGGAATTTCTACAATCTTATATTCTCAATAAATAAAAATAATTTTTATTATATTTCTATTTTATTTTAAAACAAAGTTCTTGAGAGTCTAAAACCGCGGTTTGTAAAGTTTTTTAATCTCGTCCAATCAGGTTGAGAAACGGTTGAAAGGGTTAGGGGTAGGAGCAAACAGTAAATAATGAAAATTTATGCTGAAAGGTAGACGAGGATTGGGAGAGGGAAAATTTATGCTGAAAGGTAGACGAGGAAGATCAGTGTAGCAACCGCGGTTGGAAGTAAAGTGGGGTGAGTCGTGTTAACGAGACCCGCTGCTTCATCGCCTCGATGTTACAGTAGCACAACTTACTGTAAGTGGTACGAACAGACAAGCTAGAGTAGAGAGACAGGAAGAACTCATCAAGATAATAGAATAATTTCTTGGGCAATAAAATCCCCGACCTTGACTGAAATATGTAAGCGAATATGCTAGCGACGAAGACGCGTAAGGAGAACCTCAAACCTCCCCGCCTCGACCGGATAATGTCATCGGAGCCCAACCTGCTCGGCTTCGAACCCCGATGTCCCCTGATAAAAATGAGAGATAAGAGAGACCCCTAGGAACGCGAGCAACAGGAAGCGAACGAGGCGAAGACAGATTTCTACTGCGACCAGAACGAAACCCGACGTGGATGTAGGCCTCATTTTTAAAATTTTTCATGAAATCGTTTTACAGTTTACAAAACCGTTCATTCCGTTCTGTCCCAACCTCTCTTTCCCATTCCTCCTTTTGATGAGGTTAGGATACACTCTCCCCCGTGTTGCTTTGGCTGTACTGCCGTCCCCGTGGTCAGGGGAAGAAAAGCGCCGCGGCCGTAAAATCTTGAAAGTAATTGCAATTGTGCCTGAAATTTTGCAATTACCGATGCTAGAAAGTAATTTAATTACAATATCTTTTAGCTAAAAGTAATTAATTGCAATTATAAATTAACAGGAAAAGTAAGTCAATTACTTTGATTGAATTACTACCCAAGTATGATGCGTACGTCTATAGAAAAATTGATTGTTGTCAGTCGAAAACATTGAGTCACGCATTTATTGCGGTAGGAATGCATGTCTTAAACAGAAATCATTCGGCAAAATGGCGACACACGCAGTGATTGGACACAGTAAAACAGATCACAGTTAAAACTCATGTAGACGTAGTCAACGCGGACACGTTTAGACACGTGTCACTTACGATCATGTAAGCGACTGTTATCGCGTGCAGTCAGTGAATTCGTGCATTATACCCTGCCACGTGTAATTTCGATCGAATGACATTACGGGTGACATTATTGGGTCGACAAGTCAGCCCGGTATGCTCGTGTAACCACTCAAAACCGCGAACTGATTAAATCCTATATAATTTAATTAAAATATATTAACTTTACCTTGTGGCAGCTAGGGGTACTAAACATATTATTTAGTCAACTAATTTACTTCTCCCTGTGGGCTCGATGTGCCTTAGAACAAAATATAACTTATTGTGTATACAAAAATATTATTGCCTTATTACAGTTAAAATTGTAGTATAAACACGGTAAAAGGCAATAAAATAATATTAGTATAAATAAACACATAAGCACCAACAACGCACTTTCAATAATCACAAACTTGCCATTCACCTTCCAGTAAAAACTAGAATATTACCACGCATATTTACAAATGTCCACGCAACAGCACGTGGATAACGATGAAGAACAATATTCTATTTATCACAAGATTAAAAAAAATAGCAGAACTTTACTCGAGTCCAACATGACCAAGCGAATTCATAAATGAGTTGTTTCTCACCTGTCGATCGTATCCATACGTCCCACTCTACCCGCCACGAAAACATTTGAACACGAACTCCAAGAAGCCTCTTTGTCGAGAGAGGGGTCCATTGATAATCACCAGTGTCATCGTTGACTAGTTGCCACACATGTCATTCAAACCGTCGCAGCACTTGTTTCCGCGAATGCACGTAAATGCCGTAGTATCAAGCGAACACAACAAAAATTACCCGAGACTGCGGTGACGACGGAAAAACTACGGAAAGGAAACAAGTCTCAAAACAACCACACACGAGAGTGCCAAGCGCCGATACTGGCGCGTCGTGGACCGAACGCAAAAGAAATACCATTAGTGACAGTTAGTCCAGGTTAGTTGGGTTAGTCAGCGTGCGGGCGAAACTCGTAAACAACACGTCATCAGGAGAGGAGAAGCCCGTCCAACGCTGACTCTCTCCCTCTCCAAGTTTGCTTTCCAAGGCGCCCGCGAGTCTGGTCATGTGAGGTTAATTCGTTGAACTAAAAGGGTTGGGTTCACTCTCCCTCTTATTATGCCTCCTATCTCGCTCGTTGTGTTCCCTCTTCTCTCCTCTCCCTTTCCAAGTTCTCTTTTTGGGAGGAAGAAAAATAAACAATATTCTTGTCAATCGTAATTACCCGGTTTGCGCAAACCATATATGAGGATTGTGTCGGTGCAATATAACAGATTTTCTGTGGACATCCGTCGTGTCAAACTGGTACCGGCTTTCTTTCAATATCACTCTCGAATCGGCCGAAAATGCCTAATACTGCGCAGTTATTGCCGATTCAGAAACGATATACAGGGAAAAACACGGTTCGTGTACCATATAGATCACGGTTGCGTCTCCGCAATATAACAGATATTCTGTCGAAATCGGTAGTATTAAAATGGTCCCGGCAAAATTTTCCAGATGCAACGTAAAAATCGGCAATACTCGCATGACTTTCCCGACCCGAGGCGAATATCGCGTCAATATTGTGCGCTGCCTGAGAAGCTATTCTGATGTTTGATGCTCAATATGTCAAGTAAACTAGACATTCAACAAAAGCAACTGGAATATTGTCAATGTTTTGTATCTTCGGGTATGGTCTGACTTGAAAACCTTCGAGAGATTTTGAGTTGGGTGGCATGGCTATAAGAGAAAGAGAAAGAAAGAGAAATTCTTCTGAATAAAAAGGAAAGCTGAGGATTGCTTTCACGCCACCGGGTCCAGGGCTACCTGAGAGTGTTAAGTGATGAATAAATTATATATTAATGGGTCTATTCCTTATACATTTATCCGAGCATTTGTCCTTGCGTTTGATGTTGCGTGAAATGCAATGAGTTGAAAGAAATTGACTTCGTCTCTATCATTTGTAAAACAAAGTACTTATATCACCTATCTTAAAATAACCTGAAGGAAATTCTGGGACGTTCGTAGTGACCAACAGTCCCACTGGAAGAAGGCGAGAACCTGAAGGATGCACAAGACAGGTATGTATAAGACTGGGGATAAACAAACGGCTGCGCCTCGCACTCATATCACAAAACGTTCTTCCATGTAAATGGTACACATAAACTAAGTGTCTTCATAATCACGTCATACTGTAAACAACGCCCGGGCATCTTCTTTCTTGCAAAATATACCAAGAGCCAATCGCTTTTAATACATTAATTGGAGCTACTAAGTGATGAAGACGAAGCTTTTTTTTGACAGTAAAATTCGATCGAGTTTGGAACACTGTGCTTAGCATTTTACTTGCTCAAGGTCCCAGTGATGATTGAATGTTTGGAGTGAGATTATGCC